TCATTTCAATTGGAATTGCTTTAATTGATCTCCTTTTTTTTCTCTTTATTATTAAGCAAACTGTCCATTGAACTGAAAAAATATATAGATGATGAACAATTTAATGGTAAAGAATGCACACTATTAATCCTTTTCTTTTATTTTGGTAAAAAAACAATTGAAATTTAATTTTAAAAAAAGAATATATACTAAAAATTAATTTTATATCGAAAGGAATATTTTTCTTTTGATATTTATTATCTCAAAATAAGAATTATATTCTTTTATAAAAAAAATTTTATTATAATGCACGGAGAGAACAAATTAAGGGCCAATGCACAATAGCTTTGCGAAGACAGTTTTCGAACGAGGTGCAACGCTACGTTCACGTTTTTGGTTTATTGGATGTTTTCGGGAGCTGCTGACAATATACTGACAGTAAAAAATTACCCAATCAGAATAAACATGATCAGCCAATCACAACATACTGACAGTATACTCACAGCAACTCCCGGAAATACCTATTGTGAACTCAACCTTAAGTTGGTTCTACAATAAAGACTCTACATTGGCTGCGCAAACGTTTACGTGAACGTGTGACGTCACCCATTTGAATAAAGTCGGTTTTAAGTCGGTTCTACAATGGACACGTTTGTACGTGAACGTGTACGTACCGTGCTGACGTTACCCACTTGCACAACATTGTGACGTCAGCACGTACACGTTCACGTTCGCTTATGCTGACTCTACATTGGCTGCGTAAACGTGTACGTGAACGTGAACGTGCTGACGTCACCCATTTGAATAACATTGTGACGTCAGCACGTTCACGTTCACGTACACGTTTGCGCAGCCAATGTAGAGTCAGCATTACAAACGTGCCCATTGGAGAACCGACTTTACAATGGACACGTTTGTACGTGAACGTGTACGTACAGTGCTGACGTTAAGTCGGTTCTCCAATGGGCACGTTTGTAAGCGAACGTGAACGTGTACGTGCTGACGTCACTCATTTGCAGAACATTGTGACGTCAGCACGGAACGTACACGTTCACGTACAAACGTGCCCATTGTAGAACCGACTTTACCCACTTGCACAACATTGTGACGTCAGCACGTACACGTTCACGTTCGCTTACAAACGTGCCCATTGGAGAACCGACTTTACATTGTGACGTTAACACGTTCACGTTCGCATCCACGTCCGACGCGCCTATTGTAAGGTTGTATCCACAATAGACCAAAAACATTAATGTGAACATAACGTATCCATTTAAAATACATTGTGACCTTACGTATACGTTCATGCTTTTGGTTTATTCTGGACAGGCCCTAGAACCAACTTTAAGCTGAGTCTACATTAGGCACGTTAGTACGCCAACGTGAACGTGTACATGCAAACGTCACAATGTTAAGCAGGGTCTACAATAAGCACGTCCGACGTGGACAAGCTGATGTCACAATGTTATTCAAATGGGTGACGTCAGCACGTCCACGTTCGAAGCGCTCAAACGCGCTTATTGTAGACGTTGCTTTAAGTTGGTTCTCCAATCGGCACGTTTGTAAGCGAACGTGAACGTGCTGACGTCACAATGTTCTGCAAATGGGTGATGTCAGCACAGAACGTACACGTTCACGTACAAACGTGCCAATTGTAGAACAGACTTTATGGGTGACGTCAGCACGTACAAATTCACGTCGCGGACTAACGTGCCCAATGTAGACTCAGCTTTAAATACAAGAGAGTCGTGAACGTAAACGGGGAGTAAACGGGAACGCAAGTGTGAGTTGAAAAAGGAAAGAATTATATAACTATCCTTTTCTAACTCATACTTCCGTTCCCATTGTTACCTCTCGCCATTTGTCATAATTTTCGTCAACTACCGCACCCTGCTCTAATGAAAATAGTGACTTTATTGTTAAAATTAAAAGTTACTACATTTTTATTCGAGCAGGGTGCGGTAGTTGACGAAAATTATGACAAATGGCGAGTGGAGACAATGGATACCAACCAAACCAAAGGATCATTCACACGTCTATGAAAAGAAAAAAAATTTAATGTCCGAAACGAAATACACGAACCTGATTGTAAACAACCAATATCAACTTTGTGCGTTTTGGAAAAGTTTAGCGTTTTCATCTTCGATTGAGAGGAATATTAATAAATTATTTTTTTAATTTAAACCATTATTTTGTGTGCATTTCATAATATGAATTTAATTGATTAATTTATTAAAATTAAAAATAGTGATACAAGAATAAAAAAAAAATACACCAAGTTTGACGACGATTTACACGTCGATAACGACGACGATGGTATATATGATTACGATTACGCGCACTATAATGATAGTTTTTAATCTTTTATACGTTTATATGCAGTTAAATGACTCACATAATCAATGTTGTGGCATTATCTGATTGTAATGCGAACCTTGTTAGAGAAATACGTACTTGAATTAATCCAGTTATTTCATCAGCTAATTAAATAAACCTTCGAAAATTCGCTCTGTGCACTGTCGACACGTTGGTTGAAGCAATCAATCGATTTACATTAATGGATTATTCCCCATTCAGTCAAATATACCCGTATAGGAGAAAAGACGTGGAGCACATGATTTTACATATAATTATATTAACTCATTATATTATTAATTTTAAATAATAAAAGAAAAAGAAAGAAAAACATATGTTTATAATGCTTCCACCAATTACAGTGCGACGGTGACAAAGAGACAAAGATTTTATTGTTATATTGAGAATATTGTTCGATTGTCTTCAATAAATTATGTATGTTAGAACAAAAATCAATCGTGTCCGAAGGAATTTCAATCTAGATTAATTGTGAACGAAGCTTTCCTGTCGATAAATGATAATAATAAAAAAACAAACAAAAAAAAATTCAAATTATTTTTCGTCTTTCATTTCACATACCAAAGATCTGAATAATTCAATCCAAAAAATATCCCCTTTTCATAGATATAAATTTTATTAGTGGTACTCCTAAACTAATCTGAGCCTAATAATTTTTTATTTTTGTTTTTAATAAAAACAATTTTATTTTTTTATTAATAATTATAATTAATATTAATGCTTCTGTACTTTAGAGTTGCAAAGGTTAGTTATTTTGAGGTTATGAGTTTATACTATGAAATTAATAATTATAAGAGAAAAGAATATAAATAATAATGCATGTTTTTAATTACCTGCACACGAAGGGAATTTATATTAATAGTACAAATTTGTAATTTCTATATATGAAAATATGATTCTCAAATATGTAGTTAATGCAATGCGATATTAACATGCACGTTGTTATTATTATTATTATACCAGTAAAGTGTATTGTACTTACAAGTAATATGACCTGGAATTGATAATTGTTGAACTTCACCAACACTAAATAAACTATATCTTAATAATTTCAAAAAATAAATTAATTTTTCAATCTGAACGAAAGCACTTGACACTTAAAAAAATAATTAACAAAATTGAAGCCATTTGATACTGTACGGCGTTTACTATTACCGATACTGAACACTAGAAGCACTACTTTCGCGTCACATGACTATTTCACTAATGCTGGGTCTACATTCCCTGCGCAGAAGTCGATGTGAACGTAAGGGATAACGCACAATAGCTTCGCGAACAAGATGCTTCCATTAATTTTCGATTCTTAATAATATACTTAATATTCTTTTCTTGACACAGAATTAGATGATCTTCCAAACAAAAAAAAATTAACTGTTTATCGTCACTCTTTAAAATGTTATTAATTATTTAAATAATAATTATTAATTATTAATTTAAAATCCGTTCATTCGAAATAGTTCATATAGGACTCCTTGGATGCGGATTTTGATAAGTATTAAAATGGCGTTTTTAAAATTATTCTAATTTTATTTGTTCGTAAAATATTTCATTTTTTATTAATTTTTTTATTAATTAATTAATTATTATCTCAAATACAAAAAATAGGGTATTCGCCAAATTTTGCACATGTCTTTGGCTCATATTAAGGAATGTTCATGAATTTTTTCAGCTTAAACGGAGCCCGATAACAAGTTTAAAAATTAAAAACAAATTTAATTTTTTAAATAAATAAATTTAAAAAATTTAATTTTTTTAAATTAATTTTTTTTCTTAAACTTTAACATTTTCTGAGCAAAAAACGTATAAGAAATTTTTTGCTAGGACTAAAAGTGAAAAAGTTATGAATAATTGAAAAAAAAGTTGCACTAATTTTTTAATGCAAATATCTCGAAAAATAATAAATATTTTTTTTCAACATTTTTTTTACTCAATTAGACCCATAACCTCTACCCAAAAACGTAGTATAGAAGGAATCGTAGGATAGACCCCTCAATCTCACGTGGAATTGCTCATATTAACTTGAATTTAAAAAAACACAATATTTTTTAGATAAAACCTGAATTTTTGATTTTTTATTAATTCTTAAAATTTAAATCAATTTATACTTCATATATACCAATCGATTCGTTTTAATGCAGGGAAAAAAATTACTTCATTATATAAACTTGAATTTAAATAAACACAACATTTTTTAGCTAAAATGTGAATTTTTGATTTTTTAACTTTCATTAATTCTTCAAATTTTATCCAAATCTATTAAAACCTGTTAAAGATATCGTGTTTACAAAAACGACCCACACATACATACATCCGGACAATTGATCAGGATCTCATATAACATGTTTCTATATAGAGGAAAATTTGTTTTCACCATTTTTAAAAATTTTATAAACGAAAAGACTACAAAGCTTTCTCCACGAGGAAGCAAAAAATGGTTATTGATAAAAGAAAAATAAAAAAATTACTTTTTATTATAGTTTCAAAGAGTTAATAATACAATTCTTAACAGCAATTAATTTTAATCGAAACTACCTGTAATGAGATTCTTTTTCTTCTATTAGCAGAGATGGGTACGTAGAAAACCTCGAGTATAATACTGTACCACAAAACGATGGTAGCGCTCTATTCATTTGTAGTGAGTGAGTGTTGTTTGTTGTTTTGGCGGTCGCACAATTTAAAGCATTATAACCTCAATTAATTTGACATGTTTACAATTAGAAAATAATTATTAAAATGACTAATTATAATACAATAACAACTGTTCACGTCAAAAAATTAAGTATGTTTAAATTTTTTCATATTCTTTTCATTTAAATTTTTATTAAAAGTCCCATTTTTGTTTTATAAATATAACCTGTAAATTGTTTATATTTTTATTACGTCCTTTATTCCCAACAATTAATTATTATATTGTCGATAAATTTTAATTAACATTTCTCTTAAGGTCATACAATAGAGGAAATTAGATTAAGAGCTTTGGATAATATTATTTCCAAATTTAGTCTTGGTTTTGGTTGTGATTGCGATGCTGTCAAAAAAGAATTGGTTGTCAAACTTCTTAATTGGTTTTCGTTCGAAATCGTCCCCAGTCCGGAAAAAGTACTCGATTTATTGCTCGTTTTGATAAAGGTACGTATTTTACAAATAAAAAAATAAATAAATGATATAACTTTTATTCTTATTTATAATTTTAAATTATTCAAAAACTGGTTTATATGAATTTTTAAAAAATTTAAGATATTATTTACATTTTATTTATAAAATAAAAAAAGAAATACTCTTATATTCTTTTTTTCTAACTAGAAAAAATATGAAAATATTATTGTTAAAATTGAATTAAAATATAGGTAACTTAATTTTTTTTTCTTTAATTTGTACAGACAAATGGTTCGAGTTATTTGAATGCTTTTGGAAAATTACGATTTCAAAATGAACTTCATACTCTGAGAAAGAAAATTGGTGGCAAATGGCATGGTAAATTAAATGAAATTGAAGAAACTGTATTGAATTTAAAAGAAGATACGCCAATTGATTCTACTTCTAATGATATCAAGGTATTTATTTTAAATTCATTTGCTTTGAAAATCTGTAATAATTGTATGATATTTGTTTGCACAATTCATTACAGATTCTATGGAAAATATTAGAAAAACTTTTTAAAAAAATAATGTAAATTAATAATTATTTACTCACAGAATTTAAAAAATTAATTAAATAACTTTTCATCAAATATCGTCATATATTAAAATTATCAAAATTTGTTATCAATTTAAAAATTAGGCCAAATTTCAATATATTTAAATTTTAATTAATTAAAGCATTTATTGATTCAATTTTTTAAAATTTTAATCGATCCAATGCAATCTAAGTTTTAATTTCAATTTCAACTACTCCAACTTTTAATCAATTCTAATTTTTATTAGTCAAAAAATTAAAATTTTAATCAAATGCAAATTCAATCGATCGAAACTTAAAATTAACAAAATTTTATTTGATTTAAGTTATAATTTTGAAATTCTTTGAATTTTAATTTGTCAAAATTTTTATTGATTTAAGTTTAATGGGAGACATGATTCCCAATTTTGACCCACTTAAATTTAAATTATGAAAGATTTTTTTTTTCTTCTATGCATCATTTTTTTCATTCTATGCATTTGAGTCCTAAAAACATACAAGATGATCAAAAAACGAAAATTTTAATTTTTGACCATTTTAGAATTTTTATTTTTTTAAAAAAATTAAAAATTTTGAAAATGCATGCGAGAGGTTTTGAAGAATAATTAAAAAAAAAAGCGCGAAAAAAAATTTGACGATGAAAAATAATCAAAATTGTGAAAGAAGTTAAGGGGAGAGACAAGTGAAAGTTTAACTTTTCAAAATTTACGCCAATTTTTTTTTCTGGCATTATTTAACGTCTTAAATTATTCTAAATTATTGAAATTTGAAAAAAAAAAAAATTTTTTTGTCAATTTTTGAATTTGTATTTTATAGAAAAAATTGAAAATTTTAAAAACCCTTACCATTGATTGTTTAGAACCATAAATAAAGTACATAAAAAAATTAACGATGAAAAATAAAAAATAAATTATGGAAGAAGTTTTTTCTATGATAAAAAATTTTTTAAAATAATTTTCCACTATTTTATAACATTTAAAAAATTTTCTTTTAGATTTAATTTTTGAAAAAATTGAAATTTTTTAAAATCCTTACCATTGATTGTTTAGAATCATGAAAAAAAAATACGAAACTGAAGTACGCAACGTTTACAATAAACGATTTTTAAAGAAATAATTTTTTAAAATGAAAAATTCTATAATTTTTTGCCGAAAATTTTTTTTTTATAATTTGTTGATTAATTAAAAATACAAAAAAATATTTTTTAGGCAAAAAATTATAGAATTTTTCATTTTAAAAAATTATTTCTTTAAAAATCGTTTATCATAAACGTTGAGTACTTCAGCTTCGTAATATTAGGAACAGTAAATTATTAAATTCATAATTATTGTGATATATTTTAAATATGTAAAAATTAATAAATATCAAAGCTAACAAGATAGTAACTTTTAAAGATGTATTTTAATGAAATAAGTAAATAAATTATATTTCAATTCTCTATGGATAATTTTATATATTAAAATTAAATTTACTTTTAATAATAAAATTGAATTTTATTTCAAAGGCACCAAATTACCGTAATGAATGTGTTGATAGTAATGATTATCAGTATCAAAATGATGGACTCAAAATTCAAGACCAATACAATTCTATTCTTCCCTCAACATTAGACAAGTAAGAGCAAGGAAAATATTTTCGAAATCTACTATCAATAATTTATCATTAATTTGGAAATTTAGAAAATTTAATTAATTATTATTACTATTATTATTTACTTTAGAAACAAATATAATTAACAATTTAAATATTAATTAAGAATTTTAATTCATTTTTCTCGTTTTTTTTAAAAAAAAAAAAAACCAGTTCAGTACCATTTGATTTGACTTTGCAATGTGGAAGTGGAACGATAGTTTCGAAAAAAATTGAAGGTGGTATAAAGTGGTTGGTGATGCCCTGGCAACCATTAGTTCCTTCGGATATAGGTGTCTTGTCTGCAGTTGAGGAAACTCTAACGAATACACTTGAAACAAATCTTATTTTACATACTTGTCAATTTATCACAAATGTTATGCTACAGGATTTTCCAGCAGAAGTTTTTCTTCAAAGACCCTCGATAGTTTTGGTAAAATTCAATTTGTTTTAAAAATTATTTATTTTCATTTAAAAAAATTTTTTTTCGTCTGTAATATATTTTTTGTTGTAATTTTCTAAATTAACTGTATTATAATTAATTTAACATTTTAAATTTAATATTTAAATTTTTAAATTTATAAACTTATAATAATAATATTTATAAAATAAATTACATTAAATTAATATAAATAAAGTTATACAGTTATTTTTTTTATTGTTTATTGTCATCTAAGTTTATGATTATTAATTTAATTTGATCAGTTGTAGGTAAAAAGAAATGTAATTATGTTTTTGTTTTCTTAATAAATTAATGATAATTAATATTTTTTTTCTTTTCAGGTACTACATGCTTTACTTAATTCGAGCGATATTGACACTAATGTAAATTTAAAAGACGTTATATTGGTGGTGTTAAAGGCCTTGCACAAACTAACAAGGTCCCTTAGGTTTAGAATTTATTATTACTGCGATCCTTGCGTTGCAAATAGGAAGCAAAAGGTAAATTTTTAATATATTTTCTAAATAATTAATTGTCAATTTAATGACTAGTAGAATTTTATTAAATATTTTGATAAAGTTTTTGCCAATTAAATAAAAAATATCAATAATAAATAGTCAAATAATTGACGAATCATTTTTTAAATAAAATGTAAATAAATACAGGCCTCAGATTATGCAACTTATTTTAATAAGATGCGAATTTTTTTATTTATTTATTTTTTTTGAAGTTTATTTAAAAATTTATAAAACTTAATTATTTTCCGAATTAAATTTTTTTGACCATTAAAACTAAAAACATAGCCAAAATTTTAAATTCGATTAAATTGCTTAAATCAGACTTTCAAAAAGTTTTTAAAATGGAACTTTAAGAATTTTTCAAAAAAATTTGTCTTAGTTCGATTCTGAAATATTCAAAATAAATTTTTTCGATAATATTCTTATAGAATTATTCTTATTAAGGAATTAATAAAATAAATTTAATATCCGATGCTTGTTAATATAATAAAGAACATCTTTAATATTAATTTTTATTAAAGATTAAAATTATTATTAAAATTATTATTTAAAAATTTAATTTTTAGAATTATAAATTTGTGATAAATTCGTATTAATTTCTTTTTTGTCTAAATAAATGAATATAAAAATTTAATTTTCCACAGGAATTATCGAGAAATTTAGAGAGTAATAATTATGCTTCCTCTGAAGACAGAGACAGTCCAGACGGAGGTTTATTGGAAGCAAATTATCAAGTTTATCAATCGGCGGTGAGTTTTGAATTTTATAAATTTCCAAACTACGTGAATATCAATTTTTGTATTTAATTTAACGATTTATTTAATTAATTTCTTTTCTTTATTTAATAATAATTTATAAATACTTTGAAACATATAATATTTAAAAATAAAAAAGAACAAAATTTTTCCCTCTTTAGGGAACGAGTGACAGAAGTCACAGTGTAATTGGAAATGTGGACGAGTCAGTGTTACAACTACAACAAATGTTAATTCCAACTTTTTGCGTGGAATCATTGATGAGAGTAATTTCATTGTTGAGTCTTCCTGATGATCCAAAAAGGCAATTAAAAATTAATAAACACATAACTGATTTAAGTTACGAATTAATTCAACTATTAATACTAAGTGTAATGCCAAATATTTGGTTGTGTACCGATGGTGTTGCTCTAAAATTACAAGAAGAACTCAAGGAGATGTTAAAATTATTGAGCGAAGTGTCGGATTATTTTGGCAATTACAGCAATGTTGATCATTGTCGTATAACTTATTTACATTTAATCACTATTATCACAAAACTATTGAGTAATATCGTTCCACTTGAATTGGCCGATGTTATTCTACCGAAGGAATTAAAATTAACAATTTGCGTCGCTTGCATGGACGCATCTATTTATTTAATGTATCCATCGTTACATCTCCTGTTGCAAGATTATGCGAGGGTATGTGAATTTGACAAAAAGTTTTTTCTTAACTATTTTATTTGATTTCAATTAATTTAAAACAAAAAAATTGTTAATTTTTTATTTTATAATTTCATTGAAAATTAATAATTATGTAAATGGTTTTTTGGAATGAAAGTTTCAAATTCGAAAAAAAAACAATTTTTTTATTTCAATTATTTAACAATTTTTGAACTAAAATTCTTCACTAAATTAATTATTTTTAATAAATTTAATGAAATTTTTCACAAATTCAATTATCTTAAACTATTTTTTCAATTAAAATTTGTATGAAATTTAATAATTGTTTATAAAATTTTAAAAAAATTAGCAAATAAAATTACTAAAAATTTTTAATTCAAAATCACTTGAAATTTAATTATTTGCAAAATTTTTTATTATTTTTGTAATATTCTTCAAAAATTCAATTATCTGAAAGCATTTTTCAATTAAAAACTTTTGGAATTCAATTTTTCTATGTGATTTCTAAGAAATTCTTCATCAACAGAAATCACTAAAAATTTCTCTTATTATAATTATTATCTGAAATTGTAAATAAATAAATAAATAATAATTAAATTCGAATGTTTTTCTTTTATTTTCAGCAATTTTCTGGAAATGAAGAAGTGGAATGTATTAAATTATTAGACGAAACACGAACGATTATAAAATCAATGAAAGCCGCATTATTATTATTGAAAAGTTCTCCAGATGAATCACATGTGGAAACTTTAAAACTGATTTACTCTTCGAAATTGAGTCTTTCTTATCACAAAAATTTGGGACTAATTAAAGTCATCGTTTCCTTTCTACAACGATTAAATGAGTGAGTAATTTTTAACAATTATTTTTATAATTTACTAAGAAAAAAATATTGTTGAAAATATTAAAATTTTCTACAATTTCACATTAAAGGATACTAGAAAGTTTCAATATTTTTAAACTACTAAATACAATAGCAAATTATTTTAAATTACTAATTAATTTTTTCTTTTTATCCGTCTTTCTTATGAGTATTTAAGGGAAAGTGAAATTTTAGTTAATTTAAATTTAGTTTTTTTAGGGATGAAAATTTGTTTTCCAACATTGTTAAAAATTTTAAATTATGCTACAATTTTTGTCGTTCAATACAAAAAGTATATATATATATTTCTGCAGTTGAAAAAAAAAATTATAACAGTTTAACCGAATTGTTATTTAACTGAATTGCTATTTAATTCGTTAAAATAAAAATTCGATAAATTGACAATAAATAAAAACTGTTTAAAATAGAAAAAATTTAAATCAAAATAGAATTAAACATTCAAAATATTATATTTTCTAAAATTTTTAACTACTTAATTAAAATTAAACCACTTTTAAATGAAACGAAACGAACTTTAAATCATTTTCACATGGAATGTGAAATATTTTATTTTCTTGTTATTTAAATATAAATATAAATATATTTTCAAGTTGTACGCATAAATAAGATGAAAAATTAATTACAATTTAAAAATATTACGATTCGAAAATCGTATCTGAATCCAAAATGATTTCTTCTTTTATTATCACACTCTCTATTTCAATTGTGTCATTAAATCGCACGACATCACTGCTTGACGATGATAAATCACTGTCACTATTTTCCTTTATTATTTTCGTCTTCTTTTTTTTATTTCTAATATTAAAATTTTTAATATCACTGTTTGACAATCTCTCACTATTTACAAATTCATCACTCATATTTATCGTTTCGTTTTTATTAATAACAAAATTTAAAATATCATTGTCCGACAATGGCTCCCAGCCACAATCATCATCTTTTGATTTATACCAATTTAGACAAATCTCTTTAAGTACATTAACTGTGAAATTTGAACCATATAAAATTTGAAACAATTCATTGGTAATTTCATTGGGTAATTTCCATGTATCCTCAATATTAGTTGAGATATTATTCTCATCTGTTTGATAAGAATCACCCAAAATGCATTTCCAAACATTTTGCAGAGTTGAAAATTGTTGTGTATTCCATGCAATATTCAAAAGTTCAAAACAATCACGATAATTGAAAATTCGTAAAAATTCATCGACACCGTCTACACTATTGGCAAATGATAATAGGCGCTTTAACAAATTTTGTTTATAATATTTTTTTGTGAATGATATTAATTGATACATTGGTTGAATTGTGGCAGTTACGTTGGGATGTAAATAGATAACTTGAATATTCTTATTAATTGCATTTAATTCATCGCGCGATGGATGACATGGTGCATTGTCAAGAATTAGAAGAATTTTCCCTTTTGTTCCCGATTTACGTTGAAATTCTAAGGCATGTGGAATGAAAATCTCCTTGTACCTGAAAAATTATATATTAATTTTTTAAAAATATTTATCAACGACATTGATCGAAATCATAATCATTTAATTAATTGAATTTTGGAATTAATTAAATTTCAAGAAATTTGAAATTATAATTTTCACAAATTTGAATTGTTAAAAATTGTTTATGTATTTTTAACAATAATTGAGTTTTAGAGAATTTTTTTAATTAAAAATTTTTAAATAATTGACGTCACTGAAGTTCACAACGTTTATAATCAACAATTTATAAAAAAAAAAAATCTTTCTGTACAAATTATTATAAATTTTTGTCCCGTTTCTCAATCTACAATTTAAGAAAAAAAATTTTAGAAAAAAATTAAATATTATTTTCTAAATGAAAAATATATTTTTTTAAAATCATTCATCATAAACATTGTGAACTTTATAAAGCTAATAATTTCATTTTTGGTGTATTTTATTCAAATTTTTAAAAAAAATTAATTTGGCTAAGGACTTTAGTTAACATTTTTTTTGTCAATAATTAAATTTTCGAGGATTTTCCTTTGAATATTTTTTGAAAATAATTTGAATGGTACGAAAAACTTTATACAAAATTTCAGAAAAAAATTAATTAAAATTTTAGAAAATAAGTGAAATTTAAAATATCTGCAATCAAAATTTTCAATAATAATAATTATATTTTTGAAAAATTTATAAACAGTTTTTTCAATAATATAAAATATCTGAAAATTAAAATTAATTTCTGAAAAGCAATTTTTTTTAATTTGAAAATTATTTAAACAATTAAATTAACGTAATTATTTTTAAATAGAAATAATTCAATTTTAGAAGAGTTTCAATTAAAAGTTTTGACATTATTATAATTTTAATTTTTGATGAATTTATTCAAAATTTAGAAAAAATAAAGTTTTTGCAAAATTTGAATAATAATTTTGAAAATAATTAAATTTTTGAACATATTTAATTAAATTAAAATTAATTATAAATAATCTATAAATTACCATTGCTTGAATATAATTTTATCCATCCATGCACTACTTTGATTTGTATAAAAAACATCAATATTTTTTATCATTTTAAAACATCTAGCATTTTCAGTTTTCAATGATAAATCTTTTAAACATTCAGGTGTTTCTTCTTTTCCAATTAGTAATAGTGGAATTTGATTATTTCCAGTGGCATTGGCACAAAATAAAGTTGTTACACGATCTTTTATTATATCTTTGGCTTCTAAAATATCGTGACAAAATTCTCTTTCCTTTTCATGAGATAGAATACAAGACACCAATGTCCTCCAATAAATTCCCGATTCATCGGCATTGTACACATTTTCTAATGATAAATTTTCAGAAGCAATTTTATCTCTTAAATACATAGAAAAGTGTTTTGCATTTTCCGAATTGTTTAATTTGCCTTTTATTTCAAAAAGTTGAATACCATTTCTTTTTTTAAATTTATCCAGCCAACCGTAGCTCGCCTATAAAATTAGATTATCATTATTATACAATAATATCCATGGAATTAAATTTCCCATTGACCAATTTTACATTTAATCGAATTATTACTTGATTTATTTTTTATATAATCATATTTGAATTTGATGCAACTTTAATTTAACAAAATTTTTTATTTCACAAACTTTTCTTTTTTAAACGAAATTTCATTTGACAAATGCATTTTAATTTTGATCATATAATTTCTTTTCTTCTTTTTTTATATTAACGGAATTAAAATTTTCATATATTGGAGAAAACTAAATAAAAGCAACTGTCTTTTAAAATATTAATATTTAGAAAAATGAAAGTAAAAAAAAAAATGTTGAAAAAATTTAAGGAAAAAAAATTTATAGAAATTTAAAAAAAAATATTTAGAGGAAAAAATTTAAAAGAATAAGAAAAAGAGAATTTAAAGAAAATAATATTTTACGAATTTCCAAAAAAAAAAACGAGAGTTTGAGGGAAAAGTCGAGAATTTTGTTCTATTCGTAAAAATAAATTTTGAGAATTTAAAAAAAAGAATTAATATATTAAATAATACTTTAAGAATCTAAAATTTTTTTAATTTAATTTTTTGAGAATAAATTTAAAAATTATGTATCCTATATCCTTTTGATAAAAGTGTGCAAAATAATTAGAGCAAAATACTTTAAACATTTTCTATTTAATATTATATAGCTTTGAATTTATTTTTTACTAATTAATTATTATTTACACATACAATTATTATCAATGTTGCAAATTCACTTAATTTTTGTGAAAATTAATTGTAGGTTTAAAAATATAATACAGAATTTAATTGTAAAAAAAAGGGTAAAAATCTTGCGTATGTCAAAATATAAACATAACCTACAAACTTATTTATTTAGTTCAGGTATATATATTTCAACTTACTTTAAAATCGGGAGGACCATTCAGCATTTTATTAAATAATATTGCTTTTTCTCGAATAATTGTACGGGATAATGGATGAATATCTCTTCTTTGTTGAAACCATTTTATTAGAGCATTATCCAAATTGGGTGCGTACATGTGTTTCCATGATCTATTATAATGTTTATTTTCTCGATTTTTAAAACTCTCTATAATTGTCGACTCTGAATTTCTTTTTCGCTTTTTGTTCATATTTGAATGTAGACGAAAATAAAGTGTTCTGAATTTTATACATCGACCCTCGTAACGATAAGAAATTAATAAACAATATAATATTAAACTGACAGTTTACAACAGAACAGCAACAACAACTTTCTGTTTCTGTTCATTCATCGTCGCAGGAACAAAGTGCATTTGAAACGATGCGCACGCAACAATTTTCAGTTTTGGGAGAGGCCTGTGAAATTTCAATTCATCAAAATTTATATTATTGTTTATAGGGATGCAAATTTTCCAAAATTATTCTCTTTTTACGAATTTATTAATTAAATAGATAATAATTATTATTTATTTTTAATTTTTATTTTATTATTTATCTACGATCAATAATGAAAGTTTTCACACCTTGCGGGTAAATTAATAATTTTTTTTCTAGTGTAATTAAAGAAAAAATTTATTTTAAAAATCCAAATTTGAATCAAAAAATTGCAAGTCTCCGATTTTCACGAATTTTTCGACTTTTTTCAATCCGAGGCCTGAATTAAGAAAATTGGAAATTTTTTTTTTTATCAAAAAAACTAATTTAAAAATTTCTTTTTAAATTTAATTTAAATACCTAAATTAAAAATTTCAGTTTCTTTGAAAAAATGAATAAAATCAAATTTTGTATATTTTACAAGACGGTCTTTGGGTTTGATAAAATAAAAAATTACTTGCATTTTTCAAGAAAAAAATTAGTTTAGAAGTAATTTTCATTCTGTGGAAAATTAATTTTAAATTAAGTTTAAAAAATAATAAGCGTTTATTTATTAGATGTATGCAATTCAAATTTTTATAAAACATTGAAAATGACATTTTAAAAAAAAATTAATTACTATACTAGGAAAATATCTCCTTTTAATCTCACATTTCTCTTTAAATTTATCATCTTTTAAAAAATTTGGAAAAAAAATTTTGGTTTTTATACTTTCCTATACATTAAAATGTTTTTTATTCATCAAGAAAATGGGTGGTCTCAAAATTTTCACCGGTATAGTGTAATTTAAAACAACTTTAAAGCATTTTGGTTAAGGAAAATATATATTTAGATTTTATTCTATTTTTCCCCTTTTTCCAAACAAAATTTCCCCTATTCCCCCCTTTTTTTTAGCAAATTTTATGCAGTGAGACCTGTTATTTTAATAACTTATCGCAAAAAAAAAAAAAAAAAAATTGTAAAAAGTCAAGAAAAAATTCTTTTTGATAAAGTAAAGTCAAGTGAATTTTGAAACAAAAAAGTGGTGGGCACCCTGAGAAAATCATATAATTTCAAAATTTAGTAAAATAAGCTTATAACAAACTTAACTTTAAATTATTATATTTTTTAACAAAATTAATATTATATATACACAATTTAATTTTTATAATAATAAATGTAGAATTTTATAAATATTACATTTCAACACTAAAAATTAAGTGTCGCGTAGATTCTTCTTTTTTTTTTTAGAGGAATAAAATTTATTCTTGACTAATAATACTCTGTACTTCTTCCAAATACTTGAGATGTTGCTCAGAAATATTTCGCGACGATTTCATCCAATTTTTCAATATTACTATACTGTCATAAGCCTGTTCAGTTGTTACATGTTTCGATTCGATAACTGTGTCAGAATCCAAAATAATTTCCTCTTTTATTATCACATTTCTTATATCATTAAATTGCTGTTCACTATCACTGTCTGTGTTTTTTTCTTTTAATTTTGTCACAACATTGTCATTTGTAGAATTAAAATTATCACTATCATTGGCTGATAATCTCTGATTATTGACAATTTCATCTCTTATTTTTTCCTCCTCTTTTTCATTAATGACAAAATTTAAAATATCAATGTCCGACAATGGCTCCCAGCCACAGTCATCATCATTTATCGATTCATACAAATTTCGACAAATTTCAATTGATTTTTTCATTGTAAAATTTGAATTGAACAAAGTATGAAATAATTCGTAGGTAATTTCGTCGGGTAATTTTACCATATCCTCAACAGCAATTGAAAAATTGCTTTCATCTTTTTGATATGCATTATCTAATATAAATTTCCAAACATTTTGTAAAGTTGAAAATTGTAACGTGTTCCATGCATCATTCAGAAATTCAAAACAATCACGATAATTGAAAATTCGTTGAAAATTATTGTCACCATTTTCACTATTGGCAAATAATAATAATAGACGCCGTAACAAATTTTGTTGATAATATTTTTTTATAAATGATATCAATTGATACATTGGTTGAATTGTGGCAGTTACGTCGGAATGTAAATAGATAACTTCAATATTCTCATTAATTGCATTTAATTCATCGCGCGATGGATGACATGGTGCATTGTCGAGAATTAGGAGAATTTTCCCTTTTGTTTCCGATTTACGTTGAAATTCTAGGGCATGTGGAATGAAAATCTCCTTGTACCTGAAAAATTATATATAATTTTTTGAAAAAATTAATCAACAACGACATTAATCGAAATCATAATTAATGTGTTCATCTTATAAACTATTAATTATTAATATTTTCTAAAATTATATTTATATTTTGAAATATTATAAAATCTCAATTTAACACAAACGGTTAAAATTTAAATTTATGTAGAAAAATTTAAATCTAAGGAATTAAATGTAATGTAAATAACAAAAATTTTGTTGACAAAATTCATAAAAATTTATAAGAAAAACTTATTAAATTTCTGATTTAAACAACAAATTGACATATTTTAATTTTTGAATATTTACACTTTAGATTTTTAGAAATAATTGAATTTCAATCAATTTTAAATTGCAATTTTTGTTAAATTTAAATTAATGGAGATTTTTTTTAAATTACAGACAAAAATTGAATTTTAAAAAATGTTTTATTTAAAATTTTGTTAAATAATTGAATTTTAGAATTAATTAAATTTTAAGAGATTTGAAATTATAATTTTGACAAAGAATTGTTAAAAACTATTTATGAATTTCTAAGTTTTAGAGAATTTTTAATTAAAATTTTTTAACTAATTTACGTCGGTGAAGTTCACAACGTTTATGATCAACGATTTAGAAGAAAAAATATCTTTCTATAAAAATTATTATAATTTTTTATCTGAAAAATTTTTTGTTACGTTTCTTGAACAATAATTTTCAAAAGAAAAATTTGTAGCCAAAAAATAAATTATTATTTTCCAAATGAAAAAACATTTTTTTTTTTTTTTTTAATTATTATTGATCATGAACATTCTAAACATTATAGACGTAATAATTTAACTTTTGGTTAATTTTTTTAAAATCATTAAAAATGATTAATTTGACTAACGACTTTATTTAACATTTTTTTTTGGTGAATAATTAAATTTTAGAAGATATTCATTTGAAAAATTTTGAAAATAATTTGAATATATGAAAAACTTTATACAAAATTTAAGAAAAAATTAATTTTAATTTTTGAAGAAAATTGAAATTTCAAATATCTTTAGTCAAAATTTTTAATAATAATAATAATTATATTTTTAAAAAATTTATGAACAACTTTTTTAAGAATAAATCAATTTTATGAAAATTAAAATTCATGTATTAAAAGCAATATTTTTAATTTGATAATTGTTTGAATAATTAAATTAACGAACAAAGTTATTAAAAATTTCTGAAAATTATGTACTTTGACCTTTAAATTTTCTAAGAATTTTAATTGCAAAATATATAAAATAATATTTGAATTTTTTAAGTATTAAAAAATCGTTGTTTTTTTAATAATATACAAGAAAAAATTTAGGTTTAAATAGATTAAGAGTTACTACGTTTAAGGTGAAACGTTGAAAAAATTAATTTTTAACCTTATAAAGGAAATGAATTATTTTTGCAAAATTTTTTCAAAATACTTTTATGTAATAAAATAAATTAAAGGTTCAATTATTAAAGAGATTTATAAATATTCTATGAATTACCATTGCTTGAATATAATTTTATCCATCCATGCGCTACTTTGATTTGTGTAAAAAACACCAAAATTTTTTATCATTTTTAAACATGTAGCATTTTCAGTTTTCAATGATAAATCATTTAAACAATCAGGTGTTTCTTCTTTTCCAATTACTAGTAGTGGAATTCGATTATTTCCACTCGCATTGGCACAAAATAAAGCTGTTACACGATCTTTTATTATATCTTTGGATTCTGAAATATTGGTACGAAATTCTTTTTCTTTTTCCTGAGAATAAATGCAAGACACTAATGTTCTCCAATTAATGCCGGATTCATCAGCATTATAAACATTTTCCAAAGGAATATTTTCAGAATTAATTTTTTCCCTTAAATAAATAGAAAATTGTTTAACACTTTCCGAATTATTTAATTTGCCTTTCAATTCAAAATTTCGAATTCCATTCCTTTTTTTAAAATTGTCCAGCCAGCCATTGCTTGCCTATAAAATTATATTTTATTTATTTTTATATATGATGTATTTCACGCCAAAGTGTAAGTCCATCTGCAATTGCATCTCCGATTTTTTTGAGACTTTCTTTTTTCTTTTAGTACTAATTGAGACTAGCTTCCATGAATTTTTTCAAATTTTTTTTAGCAAACAAAGCTGAAGTACGCAACGTTTATGATAAACGATTTTTTAAGAAATAATTTTTAAAAATAAAAATTCTTTAATTTTTTGCATAAAAAAATTTTTTTTATATAATTTGTTGATTAATGAAAACTACAAGAAATATTTTTATTTTAGGCAAAAAATTATAGAATTTTTCATTTAAAAAACTTTTTTTCTTTAAAAATCGTTTATCATAAACGTTGCGTACTTCAGCTTCGTTTTAGCAAGCCGTTTTCGAGTTATGGAATTTTGAAAATTGGAGAATTTTCATGACTTTTAATTTTTGAATGCTCATAACTTCCTTAAAAATGCATCAATTTTAAAAGTATTTTTTTTCAAAATGTGTGTTTTTAAACGTACTTTTCAACAAAAAAATATAAAATTTTTTTTAAACGATATTACTATCAAATTTTTGAGTTTTAATGATAAAAAGTTATGTTTCTCATTTGACGTACTGATAAAATTTATAATTAATTTCGTTAAAAAAAAACTTTTTTTTTTGGTAATACTGCATCAAATCTTAGGTTTTTCAACGCAATTTTTGTAGATATAAAAATAAAAAATAAAAATAAAATAAGTCACGTTTTAATACACATAATTATGAGCCAAAAGTTTTGAGCGTTCAAATGAACAAAATTTTTTTTGCAATTTCTTTAAGTACGAATTTTATTACAAAATATTGTTTTAAGTTTGAACGTTAAAAACTTTTGGCTCATTACTAATTTAAAATTATGTGATAAAATATCAATTTAAAAAACTTCGAAATTTTTTTTAAAACCAGAAAAAACCATAGTCTTGAACTTTGTTCGCAAATTTTAGTGTTCACTCTATTATTATTATTCCGACATTATTTTGGTTTACTAATTTCTTTTATATATAAATTGTAAATTTAAAAATAATACAAATTTAATTTATACTCTGAAAAATGGTGTATCAAAACATAAACATAACCTTTAAATATACAAATTGTCATATTTACTTACTTTAAAATTGGTAGGACCATTGAGCATTTCATTAAACAATAGCGCCTTTTCTTTCATAATTTGATTGGATAATGAATTTAGATATCCTCTATGAATATCTCTTTTTTGTTGAAACCATTTTAATAGAATAACCTCCAAATCAGGGCAATTGAATTGTTCAGATAAATTTCGGTGTTCATTTTCTAAATTATTAAAACTCTTTAAAATTTCCGACTCCTTATTCAATATTTTGTAATAGGACGTTGAATCTATATTACATTCTTGTAAAATAATATCCATACTGACACCTTCTTTTATTTTCTTTAAAACTTGAACTTTTTTTTTCGTATCTAAATAAAATCTTCTTCGTTTATGGCTTCTAATCATATTTGCAATTATAAGCAGACGAACAATAGAATGTTATAGATTTTAATACATCGACACTTGTTAATAAATAATTAAGTAGACAATGGTATAAACAAAAAATATTATAGTAAACAAAGGAATCCTTCACTCGTGGTAGATTTTAGATTTTTTTACATATTATTTTAAACGTGATTTAAAACATCACTGACAAATCCTAACCTAACCCTTCGCTGTCTGTTAGCTATCCCCACCACTAGAAGCAGGTGGTTTACAACAATAATAAAATCAGTACCGTACTGAAATTCTCCACCGGAATAAATGAATAATATCAAAACATAACCTTAATCATGATAATATATATTATATAGTCGCAAGCAACTGATTATTTGAATGAAATAATTTTTTGTTCAGTGTGTTTATGTATACAAAATAAATACTAAATAATATTTTTACTTGTTTTCTCAATAAAATATTTGCAAAAATACATTGCTTATTGCAATATTTACAACGATAATTTGATTGCGCTAATCATTTTCTGCATAAAGAGTGATTTAATATGAAGTGAAGCCGAGAAATATTTCATCCAAGTGCATTGAGTAAGTATTAATAATAAAAAGAATTGTTTAATTAAATATTAAAAATTTACATTACATATTATCCATAATTACATATAAATATTTTTCTACATAAAGTTCAACAAATTTTTTATACAGTTAATGTCAGAATAATTTAATTTAAAATGTGGTTATATTAATTATAAAATACAAAGTTAAATAAATAAATAAAATCTTAAGATTGAAAATTGATGAGCAAAAAGTTTTGAACGTTCAAATGAACTAAATTTTTTTTGCAACATTTTTAAGTACGAATTTTAATAAAAAATATTGTTTTAAATATCTAAAAAGAAGTTAATAATTGTTTAATTTACTGTTTCGGCGCCAATTTTAAAATTGACCAATCATAAACTGTCAAGAAAATTGTAATTGGTCAATTTTTAAATTGGCGCCGAAATATTTCTGTCATTTGATTATTCGACCATTTGTAATGTAGGATAAATGAAAATTCTAAGTTTTAAGATTTATATTAAATGACATTTTTTGTTTATAAAAATTCGGACAAATGAAGATTTGGTTTAATGAAAATTCTGTCATTTAAAAATTCAACTTAGACGAAATTCTGTTTAATAAGAATTCTGATAAATAAAAATTGGTGTTAAGAAGAATTCTTTTGAATAAAAAGTGTGCTAAATGGAAATTGTGTTGAAAGAATCTTTTGTTAAATAAAAATTTGATTACTTAGTAATTCTGTTCAGTTTAAATTCTGGTTAATATAAATTCTATTAAACATTAATTCGAAAAATACAAATTCGAATAAAATAAAATTATATCTAATAAAATTCTATAAAATGAAATTTCTAAATGATTCACATTATGGAATAATCATGCGCCCCCATAATTTTGCATCTTCATATTTATATTTAATTTAAAATTTTGAACCATAAATAAATTATTCTATAATTGCTTTTAAGTTTCCAGTTAAAATTAAATTTACATTTAAATATTTTAAGTTTATGCACATGCTTAATATTCAACCAACTTTTTTCTTGAGTATATATAATTAATTTTTTTTAGTATTTTCACAGAAAAATGGCCAATAAACAAGAAGAAAAGATATGCTATCTTTGCGACAAAGTATTGCTGCCAGCTGACTTGAGAACTGTTGGAGAACGTTCTCTTTTGACGATTGTTGCTGCCAGTCTCAAAAGGAAGGACAAAAAGCACCAGTTCCTAAAGACTGTAAAATCTCTGGATATTCACAAAAATTGCCAAACATATTATGTAAGGCAGCGGAATATTGATGCGTCATTAAAGGCAAAAAAGGAGTCTGCTGATAAAAAGCGAAGGCAAAGGTTGGAAACAAAAGACTTCAACTTTTCTTTACATTGTTTCTTCTGTGGTAAGAATGCACATAAACAACTTCAAGAAAACCCTATAAAATTTGTTAGGTCTATTAACACTAGACAAAATATTTTGGATAAAATATCGAATAGAAAAGCTAACGAACAATTTCATGAATTTGATGAAAATGTGTTTATGCGATTGAACAATGTGAATGATTTATGTGAATTAAATGCTCGATATCATGCTCGTTGTATGAAAAAATTTTACTATTCTCCTTCAAGTAATCCAAAAGTTCCGCATATGGGCGAAAAAATGAGTACAGTTTTGCAGCATATAATTAATGCAATTTATGAAAATGAAGAGGAGTGTCAGTTTTCTTTGAAAAAAATGTTAATTACAATTGATGGAGAAATTCCGCGCATTGATAGAATCAAGTTGAAATTACAGGAATTTTTGGGTGATAACATTGAAATGTATACAGAAAAAAATGAAACGACTATTTGCTTTAAAGACTGTTAGATATGAAGTTGTGAATAATTTTTGATGAGAGTGACAACGAATTGAAAATGTTAAATTGTCCTACATTTAATTAATGTAATAAAGTAAATATTTTTATTATTCATATTTCATATGATATAAAACAGATTTTTTATTTCAAATTTACCTCAATTTAATAAAAAAAAAACGATAAACCCGATCATTCATTTTCGAGAAAATTAACATTTTTTTTATATAATGGAATTTAGAACCTAATTTTATCGATTTATAAAGTTTAGAAACGAAATAGTTTATTTTGCAATAAATTATTAAGGAAAATAAAAAATTTTTTTAATTAATTTTGATTATTTTTGTAAACGAATACCGGATTTGAATTCGCGAGAAAAAGTTACCCCAGTTTAAAAAAAGAAAAACTAAAATTGGTCCATTTTCAGCACATATATTTCTTTCATATCATTTTTATTTATAATTTTTAATCACTCTAATTTAATTTTCCTCAAAACTAATTTTAATAAAATATTTGTATAACCTAAAATTTATTTCTTACAATTATTATTATTTATCCTAATTTTTTCATTTTTAAAAAAATGTCATTTATTCCAATTAACAATTTATCAAAATGTCAATTTAATAAAAAGTTTTAGAAAATTCGAATTTTCTAATTTATCGAATTTCGAAACGCTCGAATTACCAAAAGATCGAATTTATAAATATATTATTTTAATTTAATTATTGTTCGTTTTGTTAAATTAATTCAATATAATTTCTTACTGTAATTTTCTAGATACAAACTTAATTCTGATGATAGGAAAATTGCAACAAAATTAACGGCTGGATTATTTGCTTATGCAGATTTAGAAATTCAATGTTCCATGTATCAAGAATGTTATTCGGCTGTTGTCTCAATTTTAGGTGTTGAATTCACAAGAGATAAACGAAGTTGGGAAAATTTGGGATTTTTATTTGAACCTTTAATAATGACTGAAATAATTTGTCATGGCGTAACACACGAGAATGAAAAGGTTTTTTTAATTTAATATTACAAATATAATAGTAATATATATTAATATTCTAAATATAATAATAATTATTAATTATTATTTGAATATAAAATATATTATAAAAATTTTTAATTAAATATCAAATATATAAAAATCATATAAATATATTTAAAGTAAAAATAATGAATTCACAAAATATTTTTCTAGATAAAAAATATGGCGGAGGAAATGTTAGTGTATATTCTCAAGGGCAAAATTCAAATGGGTGAAACTGGTTGGATGAAAATTTTAGAATCCATTGTTCCTGTATTGCCACTTTTGCAATGTTTTTGGAACACTGAAACCCCATTGGGACAATGTGTTGTAAAAATGATCGATCCTGATATTTCCAATGATATTCAACTTCCTTATATTGAGGTGATTATGCAATTTAATATAAAATTATTTTCACAAAAATATTTTTTTACTAATAAAAAAAAAGTAAAGTTTCAATTATTTTTGTTTTATTTACATGATTCATTCATATTTTTCATCTGTTAAACTTCATTTTTACTAATTTTGATAATTTAATAAAATTACTTTTCTTTTCCATAATTTTTTTACACTCTTTTTTTTGTGAATTTATACGTTATACATTTCGTTATTTAAAATATTGTAAAAAGTTTTTTTCGAAATAAAAATAAATATTTAAAAATTTTGACACTTATTTCTTTTGCAGGTTTTAAAGGGTAATTTGAGACTTCTTTTTTCCCCTGATCCGGAAGTAAGAGAGGAAGCAGTTTGTCGATTAATTTGGTTACTTGGGAAAGAAAACGGCTCCACTCAGAAATTACCAAGATTGTCCTCTTTGCACGGATTGCCATTGAATTCTCTTTGTATTTTTGATCGAATTGCTCCGTTTAAAAGACCCGACGGAAGTTATCAAGTAATTTACAATTCCCATAGTCATAGATAATTTTTTTTTTATTTCTTTAGATTCTCAACTTCTTAATTTTATTCTTTCTTTTTTTAATTATTTTTTTAGATGTATTAAAATTTTTACTATTAAAAATGATTAAATTTTGAATTTTACTGAAAAATTTTTAAAAATGAAAATTGTATTAAAAAAAATTTAATAATTTAAATAATTAATTTATTATTTAATTAAATCATATTGTATTGATTAAATAATGAATTATCCTAATTTTAAAAGAGTAAAAAATTTTAAACGTTCAAATGAACGTAATTTATTTTGCAACTTTTTTAAGTACGAATTTTACTACAAAATGTTATTTTAAATATCTAAAACGAAGTTATTAATTTAATAATTGTTTAATTTTACATTGTCATCATAATTTTTAATAATTTATATATATTTGAAAAAAATATTTCGTTCATTTGAACGTTCAGAACTTTTGACTCATAATTTTAAGTTGATATTTTGATTTTTGTTTTAAATCACTATTTTAGAGAAGCAGTTTAATGTCCGTTCTTGATATGCTAAAAACAACGAGCGTTGAACCAAAAATAAGAAAATCGGCTTTAATTCAAGTTAGTGTAATGATGACTGATGTTTCTTTACATAAACTTTTCATCGCTGAAAATGGTTTAAAGATAATATTGGAAATTTTTGCGAGTGCATTGGTAATTGTTAATTATTCATTGAAGATATTCTCAATGTTTCTATATATGGAAATATTTTTGAATAAATTAAATTTTCAAAAAATTAATTATCATTAAAAAAAAAATTTTTAGGTTGAAAAAGATTATTACAACTATCCAGATTCTGTTATACCAATATTGACAATTTTACGATTGGTTTGCGCATCAGAATCTTCAATTCGTCGGGAATTATCCACTAGAATTGATTTATATTTCAATATTCTCCGAAGTAGGTATAAAAAAATTTTTTTGAAAAGAAAAAATTATTTTATTTAATAATTTTTTTTTTTTGGGGGGAAATAAAAAATAATTTTGTTTATTTTGTTAAAATTATTCAACTAACTTACATTTCAGGTTTATTTCTTTTTCCCAATAATGAATCTGTGAAAGTTGATGCATCTCAACTTTTGTGTCTACTTGTTTACAATGAATTTATAATAAGATTGGGCGAAAAATATGTGGATAAAAATAATCCACTAAATATTTCTCTACCATATTTAATAGTGAAGAAAATGAAACTTCCATTTGTGTGTAAAAATCATTGGAAATCGAGTATTCATCGAAGATCTGACGTTGCTGGTAATTCTCGAAATGTTTTTTTTTTTTTTTTTTAAATAAATTTAATATATTTTCATATTTTATAAAAATTGAATTAATTTCTATGCATTTTAGTTCTTCATGGCAGTAATAATTTGGCAATTAGTTTTGTGAGAATATTTTGGGCCTGGGAATGGAATGGTGGACGTAAAATTTTATGGAAATCTTGGAATGACGTGAACGATAGTGAAATTGCGGAAAAATTAATGATACGAGAATTTGAATTCACTTCACTTCAATTTAGTTGTGCATTTTTTCAATCTCAACAACAATTGCGTAATATTCAAAATTCCACAACTCACGATGGAGTGTCCTGTGCGCTTGATTATTTAACAATGTATTTAAAAAAAAAAATATTGTAATATTTTCAAGCAAAAAAAAAAGAAATCAACGAAAATAATTTTCTTTTTTATTTTGCAGGTACGTGAAATTATATCATATGATGACATATGAAAATTTAGAGGACATGAGTGATTTACCATGGGGACAATCGTTTGAACGTTTTTTACTTTCTCATCCTGCAAGTAGAGAAGATTGTGAACTTTTTGTTAATGTTTTAAATTTTCTCTACGTCTACGTGAATCAAATTAAAAATGGTATAATTTAAAATAAATGAAATTTCTAAAGATTTTTTTAGCATTATTATATTTTAATTTTTAATTAAAAATAATAAAATTTCATTTTAATTTAGAAAAAAAAATCTTCACTTACAGGAAAAACTGGATGGCTTTGTAAAATAATGAAAAATATGACAAAATCATTGTCAGATTTATTGAGAAGTTTAGATACAGCCAATCAAGATGTTCATCAGTCGGTTTTGCGATTAGCGAGATCATGTTCAGCGAGTGAAGAATATGCAATTGAAGATGATGAATCGCAGGATTCTTGGATTAATTTCATTGAACTTGTTGTATCTAATTTGTGTTTTGGTGATCAGCAACATTTTTATAACTTGGGTGAGTTTCTCTCTCAATTTGCATGTATTTTATACTACAAATATTAAAAATTAATAAAATAATAATTATTAATTTATTAATGATAACTTTAATGTAATTATTATTAATATATTAATAAGTGAATAAATTTATAAAAAGTATATAAGTTGAATAAATTAAAATTCGTTATTCATAATATTAATAATAATTAAAAATTTTTTTTTCTTTCTTGATTATTTTTTCTCTTTCCTCTTTAATTTGTTTTTCATTTCGCCTTTTTTTGTTTGTTTCTTCATTCATTTTTCCATTAAAAATGTTTAATCGAAAAGCATTACAAAAACTGTTTTCAGTTAAAAAAATTCTAATAATTTTCATAAAAAAATATTTGTTTATCTTCTAAATCGTTGATATCGTAAACGTTGTAAACTTCATCGATGTCCTCTTCTTTCTTTAACTTTCTATAGTAATTATTTCTATTCTTAGAATTAAATTTAAAAAAAAAATTCTTTTCTTTATTTTTAGCGTATCTTGATTGGCTTTTGACGTGTTTAACATATTTAATTGGCAAGTGCCAATGGCACGGTCATAAAAAAGTCCTAATAAGTCTTGGAAATGCGTTGATAGAACTGATTATCTCTTTTCATGGTGCGGGAACCGTCAGTTTTATGGGACTCTCAATTACAAGAAATTCAATAATTTGCTTGAATCATTTACTTCATCAAATGCAAATTAATTTAACTAAAAGTGTAAGTTAGAACATTTGTTTTTAGTTTATTAATTTTTTTTTATTCAATTTATTCGTCGTGATAATTCAATTAAAAAGAAATGAATTCAATTTGATAATTCAATTATAAATGTATAATTAAATTTTTATTTTTAATTCAATTTTATAATATATATAGAATTTAATTTCATATTATATTCTTATATATCGTGATATTTGCATTGTTTTCTTTTTCTCAGTCTTGGACAACTTTTTGGTATGAGGAGGGAAGATCATTGAGTTGGTTACCAATGTTGTGGAAAAATAGAGATCCTTTAGTACGCGCATCAGCCTTTCAATTACTTGCTGGTTTAATTAGTGGAATGCATACAGCTTCACAGCTTTTAAGTGCCGTTGTTCTTGCTCCAAGTGAATTATGTCACTCTCTCATTTATTGCATAACAAATCAAAAAGAATGTTGTATTGTTAAAGAGGAAGCGTGCATTGCATTAAGTAATTTGATTAAAAATTGCAATACATCCGCTTATCAATATGTAAGTAAAATCGAATAAATATTCAAATCTTTTTTTTTTTTAATCAAATATGTAATTGAAATTTATTACATTAAAATTAAATAATTTAAATTTTTACATTAAAACTAAATAATTTAATTTTATTATTTATTATTTATTGGCCCCAACATTTATACCTAAGTTTGTTAATCGAATGAAAATTGTCAGCTTCTTTGGGAGAAGAAAAAATTAATTTTTCTATAATTTTTAGGTGGATTCTTTAAAACCAAATGCAATAATTATTTACATTGAGCAAAGTAATTTTTACTATGAAATAAGTGCTCTTTGTTCAAATTGCTATGTGCGCGCTACTTTAGATCCTGAGGCATTAAATTTTCAACAAAATGAAAGTTCAAAAACACAATCAGCCGAAAGTTCGAGTCTTTCATTGGTACCTAGAGCTATTTCATATCTTTACAATTGTCCAGAGGATTTACAAATTCGTGAGTATTGTAGTTTTTTTTTTTTTTTTAATTTCAATGAAATTTATTATTTTTATCTTAAATTTATTGACTTTTAGAAATTTAGATAAAATTCCATTTTGTTTTAAATTTAACAACAACAAAAAAAAAAGTAAAGAAATAAATAATAATAAATTTATTTAAATATTAATTTATCTTAAAATTTAATTAAATTAATTAATACTAATAATTATATTAACAGTTTCTTTGAAAGACTCGGAAATAATGGATGAAGAAAATTACCATCATTTTGTAGCAACTCCATCTTTAATTTCTTCACTTTGCAATTTACTGAATAGTTTGATAATTGTTGGAGAACACGAAATCATACAACAAATTTACGAACATTCATTAGACAAGTATTTATTCAGGTAAAAAAAATTTCCTTAATTTAAAATATGACGTTAATATTAAAAATTTTATTAATTTTTAATTAATTAATTATTATTATATTTAAAATACTAAATTAAAATTTTCAAAAGAAAATACGTATATTATTATTTTTTTTTTTAGTTGCTTTAAGGAAATTCCAAAAAATATCGAGTGCAAGAAAAGTTTGGAAAATTATTGTGATATTTTGGAAATGTACACGAGTCTTTGTACAGTATTGACAAATTGCATTACTCATAGCAATGAATTTGCGTCAGTTGTTTCATTTTCACCAGATTCCATTTATCTGCTTCTTTCGTTTCTCGATAAGAAACTTTATTGTAAGTATCAATTCATTGTTTTTCAGTAAAAAAAAAAATTTTTCATTCATTAAAAGAAACATTTTTTTAACATTTATTTATTTTTATAAACAGAACAAGAATCTCGATTTTTTACCATAAATGATAATTTTTTTAGAAAACGAAAACTTTTTCGATTTTTTTTCAATTTTATTCATTCTAATTCTTTTTATCTTTTTTAATCTTTTTATTATTAAAAATTTTCGTTCTAAAAGCGAATTTCTCTCAAATTTTCATTTTTTTTTATTCATAAATTTTATATAATACATATTTAATTATTTTTAGAAACTAGTAAAAAATTCTCAATTTTCCCGCAATTTCTCCTTTTATTCTGAAAATTTCTAAAATTGTCGCTTTTTCCATACTAAAGATATTTTCCTTTAAATTTAATTTCTTTTCATTTTTTATAAAATTCTCATGTTTTTTATTTCTCAAATTCTCTTAATTGGAATTTCTAAAATTATCTATTTTTCTTTCAAATTTTTCCGTCTTTTTATTTCCATATAATAATTATTATGATTTTTTTTTTTTTTTTGAAATTAATATTTTATGCACTTTTACATAAATAAAACAATTTCTCCTTTTCAGATACCGTGAGTCCAAGATTAATATATTTACGAAATCGTTTTTGGATAGAAATATACAATTTTTTAGCCGTCCTCTCATTAACGGAAAATCAACATCTCGAAACAATGCAAACGGCATTAGAATTATATAATCCAGAAATTGTAATTAATTCAATTTACGAGGCAATGAGAAATTCAGCATCTGAATTGCAAATGAGTGCAATTGGATGTCTTGCATTTTTATTGTCACAAGAATTGCAAAAAGACACGGAAAAAGGGACATTCTCATTGAAATTAGTTCTTGACACAAGTCACACTTCAATGACAATTAAAAATAAAGATTGCAGTATGCAAAAAATTTTATCAAATGTTAATAAATTGTCAATAAAAAATTCCAATTTACATATTAGAAAATCAAATGAATTTTGTGAAGAGCAAAAAATTTCAAATGGCATCACAAAATCATCACATCACGATAATAATCAACAAAATCTCACAATTGGCTCTGAGATCTGTAAAATTCTTTTACATTTATTTATTGCTCATAGCTATGCAAAAACAAAAAAAGCCGATAAACAATCAAAGGACAAGGATCTTATTGTTGGAACGTTAACGAATTTACTTTGCGTTTCGGTGGAGGCAAAAAATGTGGCAATTGAAGAAGATTTACTTGAAACTTCACTTATGATGCTCAAGGAATTGTACGTGAAATTAAATCTTCAACCATTTGAATTGTACAGAAGTCAGACTGATCGTGAGAAAAAGGTAAAAAGTCAAAGAAAAAAAATTTAATTTCCTTATTATTAGTTTTTTTCTATTTTATTATTAGAAGAATAAAATTATGAAAAATAGATTTTAAAAATGTGAATAATTTGTGAGAATTTTTTTTTTTTTTTTTTTAATTAATATTTTTGCTTTTTTCAACAGGTTCATCCATTGTTACATGAAGTGAATGCCATTTTTGTATTGTTAATGAATTTCATGTACAGGAGCGTTCAGGTTAAAGAAATATTTGCAAAAGCTGGTTTAGCTGACGTTTTACATAAATTATGGGCCTGGATCGCTTTACACAAAAGCGTTTTAATATCCGGATTGAAACTGATTGCTACTTTTACCACCGATTGTCCTGAAGGTCAGTTACTAATCTTTAAAAAATTGTGAATTGAAAAATATGTATTCGTATGTTCATTTTTTCTTTTTTTAATCATTATTATTAATTATTGCGTTACAATTTGCATTTCAAAATGTCAAGTCACAGATTTCTATAATTTATCCAATTTCATAATTTCTAATTAAATCGCGACAATTATTGTAAAAAAATAAATTATTTAAAAAAAAAAATTTTTTTTTTCTATAAAAATGAAAAAGGACAAAAAAATATTTTATAAAAATTTTAAATTTCTAAAATATATTTTTTGATATAAAATATTTGGTTCGTAAAATATAACTTTAAAAAAAAAATTGAGAGTTTCTTTTAGCAAATTTATCTGCATTAATTTGTTAATGTTAGGAAATTTCTTATTTTCAGTACCTAAATTATATTAAAAGTCAATTTTTTCTAAACGATTTATTAAACATTTTTTGTTTAGAAACTACAAGTAAAAATAAAATTATTTCTTTTGCAAGCAACATTTTAAATTTATTTCAAATCTATTATTTTTATTTTATATTCTCTAATTTGGATTAATCAATCAGTAGCAGTTCTTTAAATTTTAGGAAATATGTTCTTTTATTTTATATTTAAAAAATAAAATGTTATAATTTCTTTAATTTTTATATTTTTTAAAATAGTAATTTATATTTTTCTTCAATTTTTTCTTCAATTTTTTTTTAATAAAATAGTAAACAAACTTTATTTTGTACATAAATAACAGACTTATAAATTGAATATCAAAAAATTTATATTATTTTTTCAAATTCAAAACAATACATATTTTTAGAAAATTTATCGATTTATGTCCAAATTATTTTGTAAATTCAATTATTTTTTTTTATTTGCTCAATTAAAAAAAAAAAAATAAATAAAAACTTTAGTATCGCCATTTTGATACCATGAATTGAATTTACAGAATAATTGAATATGAAATAAATATTGCTTATATTCTATTTATAATTTTTTTTATTGATTAATTAATTAATTAAATTGTATTGTAATTTGTTTAAAATATTATTGAGAAAATTAATTCCAATTAGTTTAAAAGATTTAATTAAAAAATAATCTTAATTCAATTGTAGGTATTTTATTTATACATAAAAATCTATACAAAAAATAAAAATGGTTTACAGAAAATTTTAATTTTAATGCTAATATTAATTTTTATCAATCTCAGCCGCTCAATCATTGCCATTAACTACGACATTACCTGGGACAGGACTTCGAAAAACACCAAATACTGTTGCATTGATACATGTTATCATTCATTTAGTCTGCAAGGAAATTGAAAAGGCAGGACAATTATTTGAAAACGAAAAATTACATTTTGCATTTCATGCTCTACGAAATTCGGTTCATAATCACGAATGCCGAGTTGCAATTTCAAAGGTACTAAATTACTTCAATTTTGATTAATAGAAAAACATTAATATTGCAATTAATAATTATAAATGTGGTTAAATTAATTTTTTTTTATTTAATACAATATAAAAATAAATAAATAATAATAAAAACTTTATACATAATATCCAAATTTGAATTTGAAAAAAATGTCCACCATATTGGATCCGACATTTTGAAAAATTTAAATTCTATTTTATTCAGTAAAATTATAAATTTTTTCAGAGTAATCTTCTGCAATTTTTTATGAAAATTCATCCAACAAGTACCAAAAGAGTGAAACCATGGCCTTTAGTTGAAATATATTGTCTCGAATTTCTTATTGACTTTACGTATTACGAGGAAGGACAATTAAGTGTTTCAAAAGTAAGAATTTTAAAATATTCTATTATTAAATACATACGTTGATTTTATGATATTAATTCAATAATTTGCATAAAATAGTAAACGCTTGAATTTTTATACTAAAACAACTAAACTTATTTAATTGGTTTTATTTTTGAGAAAATTTTTTTTTTGTTTTTCAAATTTTTAGGCAGTTGATGGTTTGGATGTTCTTATACAATTGGCACGATGTTCCACACCATCGACACGAATTTTGTCATTATCAACCCTCAGAAATGTGGCATTTAATTCAACGAATCGACCTCGACTTTTAACATCAGGTATATATTTTCATAATACTTTCAAACAATTTATATTTAGCAAAAAAAATAAAAGAAAAATATTTATAAACTTTCTAAAAAAAAAGAATATAATTAAAATGTATCACATTTTAATATTTTAGAGATAAGTTTAAAAATCAATTTTTTTTTTAATAGTCTAAAAATATCTACAGATTGTGAAAAATTTCGACAATATTCTACCAATATAAATTATTGAATAACTTCTTTTTTTTGCAGTGGATTTTATTAATCTTCTTCACACAACATTTAAAACCGGCTCAACAGTCGAAATTGGAGTTGTTGGTTCAATGCTGTGGTCATTGATTAGTAATAATCAAAAAGGAAAATTGATAGCTCGAAGTACGGGATTCGCTCAGAGTATTCAGGAAGTACTCGGTAAATTAACACTAATAACAGTGCCTGAAGAAAATCAAGAGAAAGACTTGATCAAAATGTTACAGTACATATTACAAATTCTAAGTCCTGGCGAAAACAAAAATGATCCCAGCTAATATTGACTAGGTAGGAAAACAAATATTATTTTTTTTGTAAACGAACACAAAAAAGTTCAATATATATTAAACAGATAAAAATATATTTTTTTTTTTGTAAATAAGCTAACAATTTTTTGTACTTAACTCTACATCACATTATCATTATATTTATTAGTTTCCGAATTATTCCAAACGAGATAATATTTTAAAATCATTTCTATTAAGAAAAATGTGTGTCATATTTAGTTGTTGTAATAACGACTTCTTTTCTATTAGCTTATATTGATTTTTATTATAGTTTTCTATATAAACGTCTGTCCGTCTGTGAGTGCAAAAAAAAAATTTCAACTAACTTTTTATAAATGAATGTGAAAAGTTTGATATTATTGATTATAGATATTAATTTTAGATAGTAATGAATTTTAAAAGAGGGACTGACTATTTTTTACCATTTTACTATTAATAATGCTTGTATTTTGTACAAATTTTTAAATATTTTAAAAATAAATTTGCAAAAATGTAACAATTACTGTATACATTTGTAAAATCCATATTATATTTATTTTCAAATATATTTTATTTTTGCTAACGTTTAGGTTTTTTTTGTGATTTAAAATAAAAAAAAAATTTTTATTCAAGAAATTATTGTGGTTGCTTTATTATTTTTAGTCGTTTAAAATTTTACAATGAATTTTCTTTTATTTAAAAAATAAAATTTACAACATACCTACTTTCAAGTTTACAACTATCATGAAGTTGGCGTCGATTCTCGGTGCCGAAATTTGTTTTTCATATAGGACCAAAAATGTTAAATTATATTTTTGAATTTAAAGATTTTTGGTCTAAATAATGCCTTGAGAAATACTTTTCAAGGTATTATGTGAACGCAAAACTTTAAAAAAAAAAAAAATTATGCGTTACATTAAATTGTCGCATTGTCGCGCGAAAATCAAGCGTGCGTCTCTTCTATCTTTGTCACTCTTATTGAATTTGAAATGGTGGGGATAATTTTTTTTTGAAAATGTATATATTTTCGATTATCATATTGTAATACTGTTTTAAATTCTAATTAAAAAAAATAAATGTTTTTGTTACATAATTTATATATTTAATTTAAAATTACATATTAGATAAATAAGAGTGAGAGAGAAAGCAATAGACGCGTTTCTACCCTCTCAGTGACGCATTTTCACATCCCCCCCCCCATTGCCTTGAACGTGATTAGTGCAAAAATCAAAATTATTCTCGCGCGCCTAAATTTCGTATGATCATGTGGTTTAAAATTCACTTTTGTGCTTCATCAATTTCATGGGGGGGAGAACATTTGTCTAGCGTCGGTCATATACATCGGTTCGAAATCGCAAATTATCATCGGGCGTTTCGTTATTTGATGACCACGTATTTGTGAAAATTAAATTAACATTTTTAATTCTTTAAAAATCAGTGTTTTAGCTTTCGGGAGTGTTCGCAATTTCTATAAACCCGCGATCGTATTAAATGAAATTTTTTTTTTTTAACTTAACATGTGGTCCGGGAGTGTGCGAAATTCTTAAAACCGCGTGTGAGTGATTTTTTTGCCAATTTGGAAACCAGCGTTCGAGTACCGCTCCAGGATGGAGATCGGGCATAGGCGAAAGATGTCCACGGTAAGATTTTTTTATTTTATAACTATAGAGGGGCATCGCCCCCCTGCGCGCTTCACGCGCCAACCCCCCGTTTTTTATTGTTTTTGTAGATGCGGCCTTATGACCTATTTTGAGTTTATGTTTGGCCAATTTCTGGAATTTAAAACTATTATTAATATTTTATTATTTATTTTTTTAAATGTTATTTATGATTATTATTAATAATAATTTTTAAAACAAAATTTATCGAATTTTTTTAAATTTTCCTGCCATAATTTGACCTACATTTGAGGTTATGTTCGTTTTTTGGTCGTTTCCTTCAAACACAAAGCAGTATAAGGAGACACCACTGTCTGGGAAAGGCTGAAGCCGTTTTCCCCGTTTCTCTTGCAATTAAATGCTCATCATTATTTGGATTTCATTGAAAATAGTTTTGTAAATAGATTTATATTTTGTATTGCCTTTAACACAATTTGTTTTGCAACCTTTAATGGAACCACTAATCATATTTTCTTACTTTTCTTTAAATTATTTACAAAAACCGGAAAAAAACAATTAGTTTATGCAGGTTATGTCACGGTAGGCATTTTGCGAAAGTTCTATGTGTTAGTAACTGTATGTACACATTTTGTGTCAGTGTGGGTAACTAGTTCCCAACTTTTCCGATAGGTTCGACACCTCCGTTAATTGTAAGAGAAACTGGGAAATCAGCTTCAACTTTTCGTGGGCTTAATATAGCAGTGGGGTCTCCTTATATGTACTACTTCGTGTTTAAAACTATTATTAATATTTTATTATTTATTTTTTTAAATGTTATTTATGATTTTTATTAATAATAATTTTTAATTTTTAAAACAAAATTTATCGAATTTATTTAAATTTTACTGCCAAAATTTGACTTACATTTGAGGTTATGTTTGTTTCTTGGTCGTTTCCCGCCAAAATAACCTAAACTCTAAATTCAGGTCATTTTTGGCGGGGAATCCACCTCCTCTCAACTAAGAGTGAGGGGGCTTGCGACTATATTCAGAGTCTTGAAACGAACATAACCTCAAAATTTATGTCATTTTTGGCGGAAAATCCACCTCCCTCTCAACGTAAGGGAGGGAGGGCTTATTGCGACTATATTCAGAGTCTTGAAACGAACGCAACCTCTAAATTCAGGTCATTTTCGGCGGGGAATCCACCCCCCTCTCAACGGAAGGGGGGGGGGATTGCGTTTATATTCAGAGTCTTGAAACGAACATAACCTTTAAATGAAAATCATTTTTGGCGTGAAATCCGGTGAGAGGAGGGGGGAGGACTTGCGGCTATATTCAGTCTTGAAACGAACATAACCTCAAAATTTAGGCCATTTTTGGCGGGAAATCCGAAGAGAAGAGTGTAGGGGAAGAGGACTTGCGGCTATATTCAGAGTTTTGAAACGAACATAACCTCAAAATGTAAGTCATTTTTTGCGGGAAATCCGAGGATAGAGGAGAGGGGGGGGGGAACTTGTGGCTATATTCAGAGTCTTGAAACAGCGGCGGCTGCAATACCTTTTTGTAATATATAGGTAGATAATAATTGAAAAAACATGGTTGTATGAAAAATTGCAATTTTTAATTTTCTTTTTAATTTTTAAATGTTTCTTTTCTTCAGACTGAAGGACAGGAAGGAGGATGCAGAGAAAGCATGGCCCCTGCATAGTTTCCCGGTCTCCCCGCATAGAAGAAGGGGCCACTGGGGGACTGGTCCAGAAGAGGCGATGCTGCCATCGCTCTGTCGAGGTGAATCCGCGATCGGCAAGTGAATTTTATCTTGAACGTAGCGACACACTTTGAAATGATTAATTTCTAAAATTTTATTTTAGTATTTAATTTACACAAATGGCAAGCATTATTTTAAATGTATGAAATTTAAATTTCTATATATTTAAAATTTTGTAAATTGTTATTTATTTCAAAGATTATCATTTCTTGTAATGCTCCCCCTTTTTATTATAATTCTCAATACATTTTTAAACTTAAAAATTAAAATATAATAGTCTAAAAAGTTTTCTATCAACAATTTCTTAACACTTAATTTGAAATATTTTCTAAAATTAATATTAATAAAATTAAAATTTCATTTGAAAAAATTAATGTAAAGAATTAAAGTTAAATTAAAATGAAAAAATTGAATAAAATTTATATTAAAAAGTTAAATAATTTAAATCAATTTTGTTTTTAAAAAAATTCATGTATCAACAATTTTGATTTTGAAGTTAAGTTTAAATTTTTTAAGTCACTCTAAAAATTATACATTTTTTTGACGCGAAACATGTGATATGTATAGTTAAACAAATAAATAATCACAGTCACTGCACATTTTACCCTATAATGTACATTTTTAATTAACTCGATTATTTTAGCGAAACATTAAATAATTCTCAGAACTTCGTTTAGTTTCTAGATAATTCGATATTACTTTTCTTTTTTTATCAGTTTGCAAATTAATTCTAGAAAATAATAATTATTAATTAATATATCTTTAAATGTCATTAAACTTGGAGTTTGATTAAAAAATTGCTAGTATATAAATAAACGCATCCAAAGTCATTATTTTGTTAATTAACATTATATAATTTACTATAATTATTCATTATTTACATTAATGGGACTGGATAGGAAGCCGACGAAGCAACGTGATAAGATTCCACAGGTGTGTATTATTTTTGCAGTTAAGTGTCCTCGAGGAAGGAATTTTCCTTATAGCTAGCAAAACAGGAAAACTGATTTAATTATCTAATTACTTTCTTGTAAACTAAACACATGAACTTGTGTACATATATATATATATATATATATATATATATACTTTCATCGTTAGATTTTTATTCATCAGAAAACTGCGCAATTATATGAATATAAAAAAACCGAAAAATTGTTATAATAGTTAAAAATTCATAAACATCATTGAAAAATAATAATTGTTATCTTTTAAAACCATTAAAATTAAACTATGTATCGTTTAAAGTTTCTGCGTTTCAAACTTATTTACTATTTCAGTAATTTATTTTTACTTATATATTTAGTGAAAAAAAATTTCCATTTGGCATTTAATTTTCACACTCAAATTAATGTTATCACAAATTCACATTTATTCCATATAATAAATTTTCAGAAAAATTTACCACATTTTTTTTACCTAATTAAATTTAATTATTTCAATGATTTTATGAAAAAAAAAAATTGAAATTCCACGTAAATTTTATGATTTCTAGAATAATATAATTTTTATAATAAAAAAAAAGTAAACTCATTAAAATCAATTAACTTTATGTCCAATTATTTTTATTTTTACAAATTTAGAAAAAAATTACCATTGTATGTGAATATTTCTCTAAACTATCTTATTGGAATATTTAGTAGATTAAATTTGTTTATTGAAATAGAAAAAAATGTTTCCACTGATACATTATTATTTTTTTTTTTTTTATCAAAATAGGTAATCGTAAACATTTAATACTTATTGCCATTTTTATGTTTCGGAAATAAAAAACATTAGATTAAAACTTTTAACATTTTTAAAACGTGAATGCAAAACGGTGCCTTTGTTTTTTTTTAGAAAAATTTTTATTACATATTTATTTTAAAAAATGATTTTCATAGCATATATTTCGGCAGTTCTTTTAATGTATCATTTTTTTAAAATTAATTTCTAGTAAAAATATTTATATGATGCAAAATGAAAATATCACAGACAAAAGAGCAGTAAAAGACATAGTAAAAATTTAATAAAAAGTGCATAATCCCGTAATACGATCTTAACGGTACGAGTGCCATCCATCGTGTGTTCGAACGCGGATCTTCTACAGTTAAACTGGAATACCATACAAACTTACTATTACAATTTATTATATTATATAATTAAACTTTATTAAAATAATTGTTATACACTGTTTTGTAATATGAATTTTCATATTATTTTTATTTTTACGTTTTTTGAAATTAGAAATCCAAAAATCATGTTTTTCTATCATTTTGTAGAGTTTTTGAAATCGTACCTTTAAATCTATTAACAAATATTTTAGAGTAATTTTATTCAGAGTTATTAACGTTAAAAAAAATTTTTAATTTCGACAAAAGTTACTTTATTATAATTTTTATTTAAAACTTTTTATGTAACCTTTAAACTATATCATAACCAGCGTAAAATATGTCCAAAAATGTATCAATTTACTTATTTTGGAACTTTATATGATCTTAAAAATAAAGTAATTAAGAACATTTCAAAAATTCACAATTATAAAAAAAATCTCATACTTTCAGTTTTTATCAATTTCTATCATATGTTGTATAGCTGTTTCTACTATAAACTGTATAGTAATCATTACTATACCTACATTGAAAATTTTCTTTTTCTTGGAATTTATTCAGAATGACTTTAATTTTTATTATAAATATTTAAATAACAGATAAAATTTATGCAATTTCAAATTTCATCTGTCGAATAAATATAAATTTTACAATTTTTATCCGTTAATTAGAAGGAAGTTAATTTATTATATTCAAATAAAAACTTTCATAACATTTCCACAATTCCAACAAATCAAAATTAAATTCCATAAGAATTTAATGTATTTCATATTTTCTAGGAATTATAGAAACCCTTTTTTAAAATATATAATACACTGAAAAAAAAAATAGTATTGAATCAAGAAAACCTATGTACTTGACCGTATTTTATATCAATATTTTCTTGATCCAAGAAAATTTACTTCAAAACTAATAAAAATTTCTTGGATCAAGAAAATATTGGTATAAAATACGGTCAAGTACATAGGTTTTCTTGATTCAATACTATTTTTTTTCAGTGTACAATTAGTCATTATGAATAAACACCGCAACTATTCTTTGAAACTTTTAAGATAAATTATAAATTCTTTTTTCATAAATATTTTTTTACCAACTTTTCAGCATCTCTTACTCTTTAAATATTCAATATTTCACAATAGATAAGAATAGTTTTAATAATTTTCTTTTAATTTCGTAATATTGATACTCACAAAATAATTTTTGGAAAATATTTTATTTTTTACAGTCCTCGGCGATGATTTTCGTTGAATAACATTGAATCATTCATAAATAATTAAACTTTTCCTCTGTATAAGTACATTTAATAACATTTAAATTACTATTTAAAAGTAATTTTTATTGACACCCTTTGTAGATGTACAAAAACGCTTAAAATTGTACGACTCGTAGACATTGGCACATAAACTGTTATCAAGTTATAAAATATTTTTTTTTTTTAGAAAATATTTAAATAGGTACTACATATTTAATTGTGAATTTTACATTATGTATTCATATTGTGTTATTAATAACAGTTTAAATGAACATGTAAAATTTTTTTTTTTTTTATTTTTATTGTATTATTATTATTTAAAATCATACTTGTAACGAACATAAACAATATATCTTTAGACTTTAGTCAAATGCGAATAAAAAACAATGAAGAAGACGAACAAAACGCAGTTATTTCAATTAAAAGAATATTCATCACTTTTTTTTAAGATCATGTGAAAATTGAAGTCTGCAACCCACTGAAACAAATTTAAATACAATAAATTAAAAAATTCAATGACATATAATCAGTGAAATAAGAAGGCCTATAATACGGTTATATGATTTTAATAAATAAAAATATTTTCCCAACTACAGTTCCTTTTCAAGGGATATAATATATTATCATCACGAAATTTATATTCACCCTTTTATAATGACATCATTAAAAAAATAATTATATATTTTATGAAAATATTTTTATAATTTTAATGATATTATGATAAAAGGATGAATATTTGGCTAAAACTTTTTTTTTTAACTTTTTGAACATTGCGAAAAAATGTTTCATTATTTTTTCGAAATTTTTTATCAAATCGCTTACGAGATATAAATTTAAAAAATTTTTTTTTTTTTGAACGCTCATAATTTTTTTGAACTTTTTTTTTCTGAACTATGTTTTTGAATTAACTTTTCGAAAATTCAGGTCTCGGATCAACTTTAAGACACAAAAAAAGTTGTTCTAGTTGATTTACATTCTAAAAAAAGTCGAAAAAGTCCATTTTTAAAATATTTAGTTAAATTTAATAATTAGTTAATAAATATTTTACTTTAAATAACTAATATTATTAGACATTAAATTCATTGTTATTAATTCCTTATAATACACTGAAAAAAAAAAAATTTATTTGATTCAAATACTCGATTACTTGACTAACGAATAAATATTTATTTGTATCAAATAATTATTTGAATCAATTAAATGGTATTTACTTCAAAATATAGAAATTATTCGTTCAAATACAATTTATTTAATTCAAATAAAAATTATTTGGTTCAAGTAAATATTAAGTTTTAATTTTAATTGTCAAAAAATTGTCGGGACAAAAATTAAGTTTTACAGATTATTAAATTAATTTTTTTTTTCAAAATAATTGAATTACAAAATATTTTAAATTTGAAATAAATTTTCTGGAAATTTAAACTGCTGTAGTTTATTTTTTTTTAATTTCTGACAATTCAATTTTAGAGTTTTTATTGAAACTTTTTTAAATTATATTTAATTTTTAAAGAAATATTAAAATTATTAAAAAATAATTGAATTTTTGAAGAGTTATAGATTAAAAATTATAGAAATAATTAAATTTTAGAAGGTTTTAAATTGAAATTTGTGAAAATTGTTGAATCTTAAGTGATTTAAAATTTTTGGTACCTTATTTGCTGATTTTTTTTTTTTAATTTTAGAAACTTATTGAATTTCATAAAATTTTTAATTGAAAAATAGTTTAAGATAATTTAAGTAATTAAAAGAAAGAAGATGTGCATTATATATACTAAGAAAACGTATTTCGTTTGAAAATTTTGTAAAAAAAAAATTGAAAAAATGGCAACTTATTAAAATAAGTCGAAAAAAGTTGTAGTTATGAAAAAATAGTCGTATAATCCGAGACCTGAAAATTTGATGCAAAAAATGATCGTAAAATAATTTACTATTATCTATTGCAATTTATAAATTAAAATCTTATTTTTAAAACCTAGTCCCTTTATATGGGGAAGCAATTTTTTTTAATTTTTCGGAATGAATTTCTGATGCGCTTGTTATGAAAATCATAGTAAAAATACCTGAAAATTTTATTTTCACAGTGAAAATCTTTAAAAAAAAGATTAAAAATCCATGTTTTTTACGATGCTGAAGTACCTAACGTTTATGGTCAACGATTAGAAATAAATTTTTTTTAACACGGAAAATTATAAAATTGTTTACCTAAAAAATTTTTTTTTTTATAATTTGTTGATTAATAAAAACTAGGTATAAGAAATATTTTTTAGGCAAAAAAGTATGTAAAATTTTCAAAAAATATTACAGGATATAAAAAATATATTTCAATGAAATCTACAACTTTTGTGTAAAATATTTTCGAAAATTTTGCATATTTTATCAAAAGAAAAAAAAACATTCGAATTTAGTATCTTTTTACCTTGAAAAATCAAATTTGTGGACATTTTCACTATGATTTAATCAGTGCATCAAAATACCATATTTCTGCATATACACCCAGAGAAAAGATTTCTTTGATTTAAAGAAACCAGTTTCTGGGACGCATGAATATTCCCTTCTTCATTAGACTTGACGGAATTTTTGTGGTGTCAAATTAAAAATTATAGAATTTACATTCATGTAGAATTTTAAAATAGAGATTTTATAATGAGCCCAATTTTAATAATGAAAAATTTCTATTTAACAAAATTCTGATTTTGTATAGAATTTTTATTTAATTGAACTTAGATAAAGCAGATTTTCCAATATATCGGAATTTTCAAATAACACAATTTCCATTTAACAAAATTGATATCTAGAAAAATTTCCATAAAAAAGAATTTTTATTTATCAGAGTTGTTCTTTTGTCGAATGTCTATTTATCCGAATATTCACTTAAAACGTATTTTTATTAACAGAATTTCCAACTAAAAGAATTTCTTTATAACAAAATTCTTATTTAACAAAAGTTTTATTCAACAAATTTCTATACAATCTAATTTTTATTTAATAGTATTGTCATTTAACAGAAATTCTTCTTAGCTAAATTTTTAAGACAGAGAATTTCTATTTCTCCGATACTTTATTTGACCGAAGTTTCACTTATCCGAATTTTCATTACATAGAAATGTTAAAATGTCGAATTTCCATTTGATCGAACTTTCACATATCAGATTATCCACTTGGTATACAAATTTCAGCGGGAATATCTGATATATGAAAGTTCGATCAAATGGAAATTCGACATTTTAACAATTTCTATCTAATGAAAATTCGGATAAGTGAAACTTCGGTCAAATAAAGTATCGGTGAAATAGAAATTCTCTGCCTTAAAAATTTAGCTAAGAAGAATTTCTGTTAAATTTTTTGAATAAAACTTTTATTAAATAAGAATTTTGTTATGTAGAAATTCTTTTAGTTGGAAATTCTGTTAATAAAAATACTTTTTAAGTGAATATTCGGATAAATAGACATTCGACAAAAGAACAACTCTGATAAATAAAAATTCTTTTTTTATGAAAATTTTTCTAGATATCAATTTTGTTAAATGGAAATTGTGTTATTTGAAAATTCCGATATATTAGAAAATCTGCTTTATCTAAGTTCAATTAAATAGAAATTCTGCAAAATCAGAATTTTGTTAAATATAAATTTTTCATTATTAAAATTGGGCTCATTATAAAATCTATATTTTAAAATTCTAGATGAATGTAAATTCGATAATTTTCAATTTGACATCACAAAAATTCCGTCAAGTCTAATGAAGAAGGGAATATTCATGCGTCCCCAGTTTCTTTGACTTGTTTTCTTTCATTCAAAAGAAAATTTTCTTTGGAACAAAAAAAGCTTCTTTCATTCAAAGAAAATTTCTTTGATTCAAAAAAATTTTCTTTGAATGAAAAAAAAATTTGTGCATTAAATCGAAGAAATTCTAACATTGATATAGAGTCAAAGAAACATTTATTTGAATTAAATAACAAATTTCTTTGAAACGAAGTTAATTTGTTTGAAATAAATAAATTTTCTTTGAATCATAGAAATCTTTTTTCTCGATGTAACACCATAATAGGCTATATAATCAAATATTATGAATGAAAAAATAAACTTACATCATGTAAAAATGATGATGAAGAGAAAAATTTCATATCACTTGGTGGTTTTATTTTTCTTGTCAAGAGATTCATAGATATACAAACATTGATTATTTGCAGCTATAGGATAGTAAATATCCTGCCTTTGATAACAAATATAAGCAAAAGGATTATTATCGTTAAAAATACATTTTGCAGAAGGATATTCAGAATCAATGTAACATTTATCAATACACGCTTCAACATTGTGTATAGCTGTTACTAATAAAGGACATTGTCCTTTATTTAAAACTTTTATAGATTTCTTCCATGTTTTGTAAACGTGAAAACCTGGATCAAAACAGGCAATCAAATCAGGTTTTAAAAAACTCTCTTCTCTACAATAATCATGATACAATGTTTTTCTTGTCTCAAATATTAATTTTTTATTTTCCATTTTGCAGAGATTACAAACTATTTTTGTTTCTTTCGAATTTGAGAACACATCAGGACCAATAAAAATCAATTGTAATTTTTGCAAATTTGGCAAAAAATGTAATATCACTTCCCAATCGGTGACAATTGTTTCACCTATATTTGATCCAACGATGTGTATTACCATTGATTGTAAATTATTAAGAGACAATTTCTCAATGGCAAAAAGTGTTGTAAATCCTCTTGAAAATCGATCTGATAATAAACGTTTAAATATTGTCGATTTAATGTCTTCTGAAACATTTATTACATCACTTTTTCCAAATTGAGTTAAATCTGTTGACGAGCGCATTTCAATAAATTCTAACATTGAAGAGGGCAATTTCTTTGTGGCATTATAATAAGGAGAATCAATCATCATCTTATCAAATAGTGTAAATGATTTTAAACGATAAAATATACTTCTCACTGTATTAAAACAAGCGATATTTTTTTTACATTCACTTTCATGATTAGAATAATTTAAATGATCCTTACAAAAGCTTGATAAAGGACATTTTTTGCAATTTATAAGAAGATCAGAATTACTTTCATAACAAACGGTACAAATTCTTGGAAATGAAATCATTTGAAATTCAATTTTTGTTAATTTTCTCCGTAGTAATGTAACAGTTTCTATTACCAAACGCATATTTAAATTATTAAGTGAAAGATGGTATTTTTGTTTATCAACATCATCTTCCAAATAGATTAATGCCTTTTTTTGAGCAATGCTTTTTAGTGATTGAAATACATTATTAACCTTCCATTCTTTTTTTATCTGGCATATTACTTTGCAAAATTGTTTATGTGATGACCAATCTTTTATTTGATGATCTTTACAACAATAGGATATCATTTGACAAGCACCACATCTTTTTAGATTAATATTAGCTTCTTCACCAAAACAACGACAAATATGACACATATTGGGAAAGTAAAATTCATGTGAACTTTCTATTATACTTTCGTCATGATTTTCAATGTCGACAGATTCAGAACATAGTTTCTGAAGATAATCCATTTTTGTTTATAATTTTTTCAATTTTATTTGTTAAGTTTTTAAAAAGAAACCGAAGAAACTACTACAAGATAAAACGCAAACTTTTTTTTTTTGGTTAAATCAAGATGGACTTTCCCTCAAACCAATGTTGAATGTATGTTAAGGTCATCGCACAATAGCTTCGCGAAAGTCGTTAGAGTGAACGAGATGCATGAAATAGAAAAGGATATGAATATATTTCTGTCCTTTTCTAACTCATGCTTCACGTTCGCAAACGTCTTACACTGAACTATTTTGTTTAGGCCATTATGCCGAATTTACAAACGCCAAAGAATGAAAAGCGCTAAAGGTGCTTATATACCTCAAATTTCGATCAGATGAACATTATTTCTGGACCGTGAAAATGCGTGAAAAGTCATTTTCACGGCGGGTATTTTTGAATTGTTTTAAACAAAAAATGTTTTTTTAAGAAATATAATATTAAATAATTGTTTTAATATGTAAGAACACTTTAAAATAGTGATAGAGAGATGATTTGATTAAAAAATTTAGCAAATTTTGCTTTAAAACGTTTTCTGCTACAAGAAAGTGTAAAATGACGATGTTTGTGAAATGGTTTGTACAGTGTACATGTGTACATGTTTCTTTCAGTTATTCGAAACAATTAGTTGAATTTAAATTTATTTGATAAACATTTCAACTTACCGATTTATTTTCAGCACTCATTATTTATTACAAGTTAAAAAGAACCGACATAACATAAACAAAACTCTGAGAGACACTCACAAGGAAGAAGCACTGTACAAACCATTTCACAAACATCGTCATTTTACACTTTCTTGTAGCAGAAAACGTTTTAAAGCAAAATTTGCTAAATTTTTTAATCAAATCATCTCTCTATCACTATTTTAAAGTGTTCTTACATATTAAAACAATTATTTAATATTATATTTCTTAAAAAAACATTTTTTATTTAAAACAATTCAAAAATACCCGCCGTGAAAATGACTTTTCACGCATTTTCACGGTCCAGAAATAATGTTCATCTGATCGAAATTTGAGGTATATAAGCACCTTTAGTTTGGATGAATATTAAATTGGACAAAAAGTAATTCTGAATAATATGAAGACGGCCTAATTTTCATTTGAATGAATTGTATTTTAATCGAATTCTCATTTGACATATTATGAAATTTGACTAATTGGGGATATGGATGCTATAAGGGGACGCGCATGGTTTACGTTGTCCCCTTGCGCAGCCGCTGACTCACTACACACGGTGACTTTTACTTTCACTTATATCCCCTTATAGCATCCATACCCTCAATTATCAAAATATCTAATTGTAATGTAAACTAATATTTATTTTATTGAATTTGAAATTGTAAACTTGGAAAACAGGGATAAGAGGAACATAAACCAAACTTTTTGTTCGCGATTGGTATCAATGTTTTGATGACGCCACTACGCTTGAGAACCAATGCGTCAGTCACGCAACGCAAAAATTTAGGAACATACACTGAGTGTAGTGTTTTAAAATTCTCGGTAAAATTGAAACCTGAGAATGTAAGAAAGAAAATTGCGGTAAATTACCGAAAAAAAGAGAATTTATGAGAATATTCATTTAAGTGATTGATAATTGCCTTTTTTAAATTTAAATATGTATTTTTATAGTATGTAAGTTATAAATAAACGACCGACATGTTATTAAATGAATAATTTGAACAATGAATATAATAGACTGTAAGGGTGCAGTCCCATGGAGCAGATTAGCAGAATAGATTTCCGCCAATCAAAAGTTAGTCTCTCGCGGCAAATTTTGCATTTCCGTTAGAGACTGTTTTTTTATTGGTCAACGTCTAATCTGCTAATCTGCTCCATGGGACTGCACCCTAATTTTCTCTGTGTTCTTACTGACAAGATGACAGTCGGGTATATATGCCTGCACTTTTATCATTGTCTAACACGTGCGTCGTCATGACAACATGTGTGTTAGACAAGGATAAAAGTGCAGGCATATAAATGTACCTGATTCAATATAATAATGTAATATTATATCAATATTAATATATTAATATATATATTATATATTGTAACAAAGATATTTTTCATTATAATAATAATTATACAGTCAGGAACATATGTCTGTACTTTTATCCTCGTCATACACGTTGTCATGACAACGCACGTGTCAGCAAAGGATAAAAGTACAAGTAAAAATTCTCATAAATTCTCAGAGAAAAAACGATCCGGTAATTTACCGGTAAATTACGGTAATCTTCTTTCTCTTCTTGACGTAATTTACTGTCTTTAGAACACTATTACACTGTAAAAAATTTTTTTAGAGATTGTACATTCACAATTTGTATTTGTGTTAAAATTTGTAAAATTACTATATTCAATAAGGTTATGTTACTATATTAAAAAAAGCACTTTTACCATTATCTGTAAATTTACTACTTTCAAAGTGGGTAATAGGTGAAACATAATTACTTGTTGCATCCGTCACCTATTACCCACTTTGAAAGTAGTAAATTTACAGAAAATGGTAAAAGTGTCCTTTTTAATGTAGTAACATAACCTTATTGAATATAGTAATTTTACAAATTTTAACACAAATACAAATTGTGAATGTACAATCTCGAATCCTAAAAGATTTTTTACAGTGTATTGGAGAAAGGCATTAATCGATTACGATTCCGGTTACGTTTCTATTCTGCTCAGGCCTTTATCGATTATAAGGTCTAAGCACAATAGAAACGTAACCGGAATCGTAATCGCAAACGGAAGAATTAGTAAGAGAAGAACAACAATATATGACTATCCTTCTCTAACTGATTCTTCCGTTTACGATTGCTATTCCGGTTACGTTTCTATTCTGCTCAGGCCTATACTCGTAACTTATGCACACATGTCAGAGTTGGGAAACTTTTACTATTTCGAGATTGTCGACTAAATGAGAATTCGACGTTTTGAACATTCGGTTGAATGAACTTTATGTCAATTTCAAAATCGAAAAAATGAACATTAGTTAACATTACAATTAGATACTTTGATAATTAGTCCAATTTCATAATATGCTAAATGAGAATTCGATAAAAATGCTGAAATCAGAGATGGGTAAAAGTACTTTGCTGAAGATTTTCTACGTATTATATATAAATGACGTATTATACGTATAATACTGGAGAAAACCAGGTTTTCGTCATTGTAGATTGTAGCCGCATCAATGGCAACATAACCTCTTTTTGTTACTTATACTTTCAGGTTTATTGTTGGTAAATAAGTATTAATTAATAAATAAAAAATATTTAAATATTGGTCAATTGAAAACTTTCAGTTGAGTTAAATAATATTATCTTATTTGCAATAATTTCGTAAAAATTTTTAACATTTTAAATGTGCTTCCGTTCTTAATTTAGAAGAGAAATACAAATATAATTTAAATTTTATCAAAGCATCGATAATTAATTTTTGCCAAATATCAGAACTTTTAAAAATTGGAAATTCGAAACAAGCAGATTTAGGGTTATGGTAGCGACTGTTGCTGTAAAAAGCTGGATTTTTTCAGCTTTTTAGCGCTTGTCATTAAACGTTGTTTTTTCACGTGTTATTTTATTTTAACTCAAAACAAATATAATGAAAATTATATTAAGTTAATTTACCGCATGTTTGTATATCGCCAAATCGCCGCGAATTTTTCGCCCCATGAAATTTCTCCTTAAGTTTTGACCATGTTTTGACATTCTATCAAAATTAAAATTGAAAAATAAATTGGAAGAATTCTTTCAATCAATGACAATGTAAACATAAATAAAAAAAATCGTCAAAATGAGTGTTATATTTCATGAATATTCGATTAAATAAAAATTCTGTGAAAAAGATTTTCGGATAAATAAAAATAACTTCTTCTAACTTCTTCTTAATAACTTCAGGAGTAATAAATTTTTTTCAAATAATTTTATTATTTACAATTTGATATATTCGTTTTATCTTAACATACTTAAGCTAAAAATAATTTTTGGTAAAAAACTTTTAAAGTAGTGTTATTTAATACAATTTTTTAAAAAATACTTTTTTTCACATAATAAATAAGGGAACAAAAAATAGTTTCCTCTATTATTTCTCATTATTCTCTAACTCCAACATCATAAAAATTTCTGTAGTTATTTGTGGACTATCTTTTACAAATTCGGAAAATTCTTTGCTTTCTCTTATGGTTCCTAAATTCAATATCAAAAATTTCATGCACGCTTCCTTTAATTCAAAAATGGAATAAATATCCGCAAATTGAAGAGTTTTTAAAACATTTATACAAGATAAATTTTCATATAAACTTTTACAACACATTATTTTAAGGTTTTTCAAGTCGTATTTCTCCGCGGCGTAAAATAATTCCTCTGCTGATGTTTTCAAGTCATTCACTTCGTTGTTGTAAAGAAATTGAAGCATTTTTTCAAAAATCGTTGCACTAATGTCTTCAACTTCAACAATCGATGTACGTTTTTCAGACATGTTATTTTTAAACATCGCTTCAAAAACAGGACTTTGCAAAGAGAGAATTAACATGTGAGCGGTAAACTTCTTATCATCCACTTTAAACGTAATATCCTTAAGTGATTCATCATGAATGGAATTTTCAATTTGTTTTAAAAGATCTCTAGATTGTTGACAACTATTAAATGGCAATTCCAATTCAGTTGGAGCTTTATAAAATGAAATTTTACAAACGATTGTAATGTTAGCAGACTTCGAGTTAATTCGAGTCAATTCAGATCTTTTTATATCAAAATTCTTTACGTTATTAAACCAAGAAAAGGTGGTCGTAAACTTTTTCACTTTAAAAGAAGAATGAAAGATGGTAATACTGATATTTACAAGTTTTGAGAAACCACCAAATCCATCTAAAAATAATTTATATTTTTTTTCACCCAATTCTTCCAGACATATAATTAAAATATACCACTGTCTTTGGGCAAATTCAAAACTTCCAGGAAAAACTGGCGATATAATTGTTTGCAGAGGTTTATTTAAAAGACTTTTATAGTTTTCAATGGTCCAATTTAGCTTGTAAGATTTAAATTTCGTAACATCAGACAATGTGCTAGATATTTTTGTAGTATTTCTCCCAACTGTAAAATAATCTTCTTCATACTTCTCTGCATTGTGTGCGGATCCTTTCATGTTGAGTGACATTTTTGCCTAAAATTTTTTTTTTTTCAAAATTACAATGCATATATATTATGGGGATTTCAGGTGAAGTGATCAAAGTAAAAAATTTTTTTTTGTTTCTTATCGTGCTCTATATTAAAGTATTATGCAGTTCTATTAGATGGTAATACTTTGTAAACAAAATTTTTCATTTGGGGGATTCCACGTGAGATTTTCATTAAAAAAATTTTTGTTTCAAAATGTTTATGAAAAATAAGAAAATATGTATTTTCTGATTTGTTAAAAATTATAGAAATTATGATTTTTTAAAATTAATGAATGAATGATAGGGGGAAGAGGTTATATTTGCAAAGAACACCACTTTTGCATAAAAAGGGAAAAATTCTTTATTTATCAGAGAATAGATTAAAAAAAATACGAAGCTGAAGTTTATGATAAATGATTTTTAAAGAAATAAATTTTAAAAATGAAAAATTCTATAATTTTTTAGGCAATAAATTATAGAATTTTTCATTTTTAAAAACAGGGTGTCTAACGGTCAGGGAAAAGTCAGGGAATTTTGTTGGTCAGGAAAATGTCAGGAAATTTCAGAAAATTTCTTTCAAACACTGAAAAAAAAATTCTGGTTAGGCTATATTTAACATTACTTTCTAGTTATGTTAACCAGAATTCTATATAGTTGAATTAACTAGAATTCTCGTTAAAATAACCAGAATTCTGGTTATTCTAACTAGAATTTTTTTTCAGTGAAGTCAGGGAAATTTCTGTAAATTTCTACAAAAATTATAATTTTTTGTGAATTTAAAAATTTTTTAATTTAAAAAAACTTGAATGGTTTTTATTACCATTTGTTACTACCATTAAAAATTAATTTATTGTTAAATATGTCAGTAACCATATTTTTGTCCAAAGAAAGCAGAAATATGGTTATTAAAAAGTCAGGGAAAAATCAAAAAATGTCAGAGAAAAGTAAGGGAATTTTTTTCTCAATCCTTGTTACACCCTGAAAAAATTATTTTTTTAAAAATCGTTTATCATAAACGTTGCGTACTTCAGCTTCGTAAAAATATTTCAAAAATCGATCACTTTGGTTTCGAGAATAAAAGTCCCTTTTTGGCTTAATTTCAATTTTCTCTATATGTACTACTTCATTTTTAAAATATAGAAGAAAAATCGAACAAATTTTATATACTCATTGAAATATTACTTTTTATCTGTTAGTAACGTCTGCTTCTAACATCGTTAAAATTTAAAAAATCATAACTATTATAATTTTTAACAAATCAAAAAATCCGTTTTTTTCTATTTTTCAAAAGATTTTGAAAAAAAATTGTTCAAGTCAACAAAATTTTTTTAGTAAAAATCTCACATGGAATTTATTCCAATTTATTTTCCATTATCATTTTTGTTGGACAAAATTTTTAAATATATTTTACCAATCGAAAAAGCATCAAAAAAGCTATCGTAACTGATACTAGAAAAAAAATTATTTTCTTATTTAATAGAAAAAATTTTCTCATGATATGCGTGTGTGATATAAAAGAAACGTTTTTTCCCCTTGATAACTTCACATAAAATCCCCCATAATTATATTAATTTTAAACATTTTTAAAAAAATATATATATATATATTTTATACTATAATATATAAATAGTCACTTAAAAATTTCTTTTATAAATAATCAAAATTTTTTTCACAGAAAAAATCTGCAGTGTAGAGAATAATATAATTAAATATAGAGATTTTCATTTATATTTTATTTATTACTATATTAATTCATAGTATTGTTTTTGTAATAGGTAATTAACGATTTTAAATTTGAGGTTATGTCTCGTTAAAATACAATATATTTATACACGATTTATACCCACGGTGAGCATAATATATATATACATAGATTTCAACAAAAAAAAAGAAAAAAATATTACCTTTTATAAAGTGTATGTAAAAATGCATATGTGTGCCCAAATATGTGAAAAAAATAAACAAAAATTATAAAAAATAGATAATTAAGGATAAGTATATAACCGCAAAATGATACAATAATTAAAAACATAAAGGTGCTTTTATATGGTTTTCGGTGAGCGATGAATTTTAACATTCGAATCACTGAATTTATGATTGGCTACTGTCAAACATTCCATTTTCATAGTCTGAATCTTTAAAAATAGTGCAAATAGAATGTTTGCGTTAATCAAACTCAGTGATTCGGCCAAGAAGACTAGAAACAGGAGCTCTAATTTGCTAAAAGTATATAGTATGCGGAAAAATTTACGAAAGAATTGGAGGTGTGGCTTCTCGAGCGCGAACATTGACCGATAGGCAATTTTTAGTCGTCTGCGCATACTAAATAAGTGGGGTTAGAATCGAAATACCTATTCGAATTTGATGGTACGTGTCAAAAGTCAGATTGTGTTTCAAGGTATAAAATAATTATTAAATTTTTATTGGCATGTCTGCTTTGTAATGTAATAAGAAATATAGCGAAAATTTGCAATAATTTGCCAGTATAAAAATATTAACATTACCTATATTAATAAGGTTAATTTATTAATTTATTTATTTCTGACCGCTTGCAAAAGAAATTGACAGAGCGCATTCTACTTTCATAATTTCATATAGAAATAGAGTATAGAGTTTCACTTATAGGGAATTTACCATGCACCACTTAATCGCCATTTTGGATTTCTCCCACCCAACTTGAATTACCTAATGTCCCCACTTGTCATTATTTTCGTCAACTACCGCACCCTGCTCTTGTGAAACTTCCCATAAGTTAATTTTCCCCTATCACGTACCCCCTCTACCTAAAAAAAACTTTAGTCATTACACATGCGCATAGTGGTGCCAAGATGGCTGACACATAAATAAACATAACCTCGTCTACAAACGTGTTCTATGATCATCTGTACACAAATATGTTGAATTTGACAAACTGTCAAAAAAGATTTTTTAATTGAAAAAAATTTAATTAAAAAAAATACTAATTTAAAAATTTTTTCGTAAATGGGAGGATATTTCTTTAAAAGAATTACAGAAGGAGCATTGTGATAGTCCTGATCTCAACAATAACTGTGATCTTATTCTAGAACCTCAAAATAAAAAATCAAGGTTTTTATAAAATTAAAAACAATAAGATAACTTGTTAAAAATTAAAGTTTTATGTACTTTTAAGACTCCACGAGACTGACTACTCTTAATGTACACAAATATGTTGAATTTGACAAACTGTCAAAAAAGATTTTTAATTTTAAAAAAATACTAATTCAAAAAATCTCAATATTCTATTTTATTTTTAAATAGGAAGTTAAAATATATATTTTCGTTATTTGAATTTAAAAATACAGTTTATTTGAATTATAATTATAATTGATTATAATAATTATTATTATAATTGATTTCAATTTATGTTATTTTTAGTTCTCAAGTTAACATGTATGTCTACGATGTTTAACAATGTTCTTCTAAAACGTGTAATTAACATCTTGTACCACTACCTAGAATAAAAACATTCGATTCATGTTTAAAAGAATTTTCTTTTAATTTAATTGAATTTTGTTTTTTTTAATTTAATTATTAAATAATTGTTTCACTGATGTAGCTGCATCATTTACGAATATTAATTCCTTAATAATATTTCCAATTAACTCAAATAATATTTTATCATGAATAAAATTCCGTCCATGATTCATAAAATTAATAAAAGTAGTTAAAAGAATAATACAAGTATGTACCGACAATGTTTTTCACAGTCAACTAAACTTATATTAAATTAAATATTCAAACATTTCTAATAACTCATTTACTTCACAAGACTTCAAACATAAATATTTTGAAATTGACCGCCATGCGCAATAGGTCACTGCGCAACTATTTCTCCTTACGCGGCAATTCTCTCATAAGTTAACCCCCCACCAGAATTAACTTATGGGAGATTCGACTGTATAAAGTTACTAAATATTCACTAGAGCAGGGTATGGCAGTTGACGAAAATTATGACAAATGGCGAGTGGGGATAATGGAAACCAACCTCATATGAAATTATGGAGACCTCGGCTGAGCTACAATCGCCTATTTTACCCCCTTAATACGAAAATAACTATTTTTAATAATAAAATGTGCACGAAATAATAAGCTTTCCGTGCAGGTAGTACAATAATTTGCATTTTTCGAAATGCAGAACTTTTTGATTGGTTGTCCACAATTAGTAAGATTATACACTAACTAATCAGATTAATGTATTTCGGAAAATGGAAAAAAATTGTTTTTTACTGAATGAATGTGTAAATTCTCTATGAGCGTCTATATTTTGGAGTAGAATTTAAAATGATATTTTTAATATTTTTGAAAAATACAATTTGTACACAGAGTATAAATTAATTTATATTTATTCGTACAATTTTCTTTTTCAGAAATATTTAAAATATAATTTTAAATTCTTCGTCAAAAAATCACATCTATCCAAAAAAAAAAAATTCAAATTTCGGTTTACCGGGAATTAGTAAAGTATAAAGCGCCTTACGCGATCTTTTACAATCGCAATAACAGACAGGTGTTTGAGAAAATAATTTTCTATTAACTCTTCTCCGACTCTGTGGGGCGTATTGACGCACTTGCACTGTACCAAAAAAAAAAAAAAAAAACTTCTAGAACAAAAAGTAGGAGTGCTGTCGGAATGTTTTCCTTTTTTTTAAATGAGACATTAAATAAAGTTGTACGATAAATTTTTGTAATTCATTTAAAAATGCTAAAATTAAACAAAAAGTGAAAAGTGTGTATTATAACACCCCGGTCTCTCTCTTACTCTCATTAAGATTAGTGGGTGGTCTATATCTATAAATATATAAAATATACATAAGTAGCTTGGACTGCACATATATAGGAGTAGATTTAATGAAAGGTGGTGGACAAGCAAGCAACGTAGGGTATTGTGTCGGAGCATGAGAGTCACGTGACTTCGGATGGATTTGCGTCAATGGTGACCTCCGGAATGGTATATCCACCGCATACCGTTTGTATGGGCGAGTAAAGTGAACATTCGCCACGATCCGGACTAACGAGGCTAAAAGGCGTGCCTTCCAGGTCATCTTTGAGGCTTTTTAAATTTTCTTCACCATCATCATCATTATTATAATTATCATCATCATTATGATTATTATCATCATCATCTTTATCATATCATTATCAAAAAATCAAGATGAAGAGAGCTGCATCTTAATTTCCGTGTATATATTTTTTTTAGTTTTTCAATTTTATTTTCTCACTCTTTTTTTTCTTCATATCTCCCTGGTCGCCTTTGAGCAGAAAATGTATGACCATGTCAATTTCTGGTTTCTTTCAGGATTCAGATAAATTTCAAGAAATGCAGCAATTCTCCTGATGAGAAAAAAGACTCAAAATATTTGTCTGTTCTTGTATTTCTTGCTTTATACAATTATTATCATCATCATATCTTTTTATAATGAAAGATTCGTAGAAGTTTTAAGAATAAATTGATCAAAATGAAAAGAAAGAAACTTGGATATAAATAAAGTAAAATGAGGATAATTGACATCTTACAATATACTTTTTGGAGAAATTAATGTAAATTTAAGCACGGATAAAAAATCTATTTTACTTTTTTAAAACTTCTATTTTCACCTGTTTCTTTTATTATATACTATATATAGCTTTTTTAAAATTTCTCTTTATGAAGTTAAAATCTATTCGTTTATTCATTTTTACTCTTGCGCAAAGAACTTTTCTACATTACAATGAATGACGTGCTTAATTCTTCCCTACTACACTATATATTCCAGGCTTTTTCCATCTATATATCAAACCCAAACATCTTTGTCAAATCTTTTCTTATATAGTGATGAAACTTTCTTAAATCTCACTTTTTACTTGAGAAAATGCGACATAGTTTATTATTAACATCCACGTAAAAATAAGAGAGAAAGACAGAAATATACCTAACTTCTATTCTTTTCTACCTTGAAGTCTGAATTTGCATCGTCATGAGACTGTACCCTAAGATTTCATTCCATGTTGGCGTAAAAGTATCAGCGGAAAGCGAAATTTATGGGATCGAAAGAAATAAACAGATATATGACTTTTTCATAATGCTCTACGACAAAAGGTACAAGGAATCTCGCTGTTCTCCGAAAAATACATAATTTTTAGTTAAATTATTAAATAATTACTTATGTTTAAAAAATGAGATTTTTAAACGAAAATGAAAAGAAACATGGCGGCGCATACACAAACGTTGCTTGAGTGTGTCAGTGCTCCAAATTTTTTGTACCAAACTGAATCATTTTTCCAAAATTTTAACCAGAAATCATTTTTTATTTCAGAGAAAGTTTCAAACCACAAAAAAACGTCCTTTGCCCACATAACCTTAACGGGGATATATTGTCAAATTATAAAGTGATAAATTAGGCCTAAGCAGAATAGATTCTTAAAGGCCTGAGCAGAATAGAAACGTAACCGGAATCGTAATCGCAAACGCAACCGGAAGAATGAGTTAGAGAAGGATAGATAGATTCTTTGTCCTTCTCTAACTTATTCTTCCGGTTGCGTTTACGATTACGATTCTTCCGGTTACGTTTCTATTCTGCTCAGGCCTTAATCGGGAACGTAAACCAGGGATGGGTAAATGTAACAAATTTTTGAAGTATCATACGTATGTAACATACGGTAACAAACCATGTAATATACGTGAAGTATGTTACCTACCCATCACTGACGTAAACGAAAATGCAATCATAATAACGAGTAAGAAAAGAATGGCTGTATAACTCTATCCTTCTGCAACTGAAACTTGTTGCGCGCGCAACAAGCAAAAAAGCAAACATTACGCGCTGTCACTTGTGACGTCAGAGTCGATTCATATCTTGAACTCTAAATATCTCGATGAACTGACACAGCCTAATACAAAGCAATACAAATTGTAAGTGTTGTAGAAGCACCTTAATGCGTTGGCCATGCTCATTTAAATTTACACTTGAGACGTTCCACCTTTATTATAATTTGACAGCAGATCCCTGTTTGCACAATTTTTTGAGTTTCCTTACCCTGTGCAAAATGGCCAGTATTATTGTATTGGGGAAAAATAGAAACGTAGAGCCAAATAATATTTCATTTAATAAAAGTTTATATACAATAGATTTC